GAAACCTTCAAAGTTCTGTGGAGTGCCCGCAGTCTGATGGTTTGATCTCCACCCCGGGCCGCCGCCCACTGGGTTCTGCTTTTTGTTCGGACCGAAGTGAGTTCATATCTTTGCCAACAGCGTGTAGTTTTTTTTGTTCTCTTTTTTCTTTTGTTTCTTGAATAACTACTTTTCTTATTTTTACAGTGTAAAGGCCAGTGTCTATGGAAGTGTCCTTCTGACGGCTATAAATCTCAATCATGATGGTGGCACCTAAATAGACGCATGCGGCATGTCGCATCATGCTGACCTGCAACTGAAAGACCTGCCTGCAGAGGCAGTACACACTACAGATACACTGCAGACTCAGCCTTGCTAACCCGTATTCGGATAAGGTAGTGTGAAGTGTGTCTCGGCCTATCACTGAGAAACCCGCCTAGCAGAATGCGAGGGAATGTACGGTTACCGGTAGAGGAAGCACATCATCTGGTGACAGGCAAACACCACAAGAATCGCATGGTGAACCTTTCCGCTACACGGCGCAGCGGGCCGCATACGCATACGTACACACAGTCATGTTTGTACAACCATGACGTCGCTGATGGGACCGGGTGGGCGAGGTAATACCTTAAAAGAGCCGCCCAGCGGGAAACTCGCCGGGGTCGCGTGCCGACTTTCCCAGCCAGGTCACTTGGCGAAAAAGCCATCCATCCTCCCGCTTTCCCATCCCGTTTTCCGTCTTGGAGGCCTTGGAGGTCTTGGTCTTCCTTTTGTTGTTTCTCGTCTCGTGCTTTGATTTCCTCCCCCCCCTTTCTCCATATCCTCTGTTTCTCAACGGCACGGGCGACGACACCTGAGTACCTAGAAACGAAGTCGTCTTTTGGTCAGAGTCTTCACATAAACATCCCCCTAAGCACCTTTTTGGATGACGTACCGTCCCCTCCGATCAGACCCCTTCACGACGATATCCACCCCCCTTTTAAGCGATTGTGATAAGAGAAACCGAGACTTCTTATCCATACTGCCGACCCATCTACACTTTTTTTTCGCCTCCCTCTTGCAGCCCGTGGAACTTCTCGAAAGTTTCTGGCGGCCACCGACAAACTCTACGTCCCGACCCGTCGTCTCATCTCAACCTTTCGACCCAAACGTCGGGACTCGGAAGTCGATCCGCGCGCGAACCTCCTCGCCCTGCCCGTCTCCAAGACGAAAGTTACCGACGGCTGAGCTTGGACTGGCTGACACTAACCTCAATCAGGAAAGGATTCAGCAGGACACACTCGTCGGGATCCGTCGACTCGATAAACCATATCAGTGGCGACCAGGTTGGGCAATCGTTACGCGAGGAGTCCCAAAACCTCCAAGGTCGACGCCGCAGAAAGAGAAAAGGGACTTGACTCTCTCGTGTCCGTCCATCGAGAGATCAACCGTACATCCCACGGAAGCACGCCCGGCCCCGGTACAGTCGTTGCAATGACGTTCGCCGCCCTGCGCCGCAGTGCGGTCTGCATCGGCACCCTCTTTATCCTCACCACCATCTTCCTCGCCGCCACCCGCATCGCCTCTTCCCTCGACTTCTCTGCCAGCCGCTCCTCCCCCGCCAGAGACGTCCCGGCCCCGCGACGCTCCCCCGCCGACGCCCCCATGTCCTACGGCTTGAACGCCCGCCCGGGCTTCGCCGACCTGTCGGTCCACATCGCCTCTCTCCCCGAGCGCCACCGCCCCTCGCGTGCCCACCCGGGCCGCCGCCTTGTCATCGTCGGCGACGTCCACGGCATGCGCGCCTCGCTCGAACGCCTCCTCGACGAGCTCCGCTTCGCCACCGCCGCCGGCGACCACCTCGTCCTGGCCGGCGACATGATCAACAAGGGGCCCGACTCGCCCGGCGTCGTCGACCTCGCTATGCGTCTCGGCGCCTCCGCCGTCCGCGGCAACCACGAGGACCGCGTGCTGCTGGCCCACAGGAGCATGCAGAATACCCACGTCGCCGACGAGGACGCTCACGGGAACCCCATCATCACGAAGGCCGAAGAGACAGAGGGCCAACCCAAAGCGGAAGAACCGAAGGACGAGCCCAAGTCTGCAACCGCCGCCGAAGTCGACGACAACGATGACGAAGAAGACGACGACGACGCCCCCGAGGAACCCGAACAAGACGACCTCGAGCCCGCCATCTTCTCGCACGGCGACTCTGAAGAGCGTGCCACCGCCCGCGGCCTCTCCCGCAAGCATCTCGCCTGGCTCGCTTCCCTCCCCGTGATACTCGAGGCCGGCACCGTTGAGGGGCTCGGCGACCTCGTCGTCGTCCACGCCGGCCTCGTCCCCGGCGTGCCCCTGGCCCGGCAGGACCCCTGGGCCGTCATGAACATGCGCGGCCTCGTCTACCCGCGCGAGGAACTCCGCCGGCAGGAGGCCAAGCGCGCCCTCGAGGACGCCCGCAAGTCATACAACGCCGCGTCCCTCCTCGCCGTCGGCCCCGTCACCGAGACCATGGTCGAGCGCGAGCACGAGCGGCGCCGCCGCCCCGGCGACCGGGAGCCCGCCATCCCCACCGACCGCCACGACGGCGCGAGCAGCTGGCCCAAGGCCTGGGACGCCCACCAGCGCGCCCTGCCCGAGGCGAGCCCCCGCACGGCCGTCGCCTACGGCCACGACTCTAAGAGGGGGCTCCGCGTCGGCCAGTACACGTTCGGCCTCGACTCGGGCTGCGTCAACGGCGGCGAGCTGAGCGCCCTCGTCATCGAGGCCACGGCCGAGGGCGTCACGCACGTCGTCCGGAGCGTCTCGTGCGCCGGGGATGAGGGCAAGAAGAAGAAGAGGAAGGGCAGGAAGCACAAGAAGAGCAAGAAGCAGGAAGACCAATTATAGAGTCGAAGCTGCAATTTTTTTTTTCCCTTTGCTTTTTTTTTACCTGCCCCCATGCCAGAGCGTTGAAATGGGCTCATGATATATACCCTACTTGCAAAAAGCCACAAGAACGGGGCGATCTGTGTTTTCCGGAGAAAAAAAAGAAAGAGCACGGAAGTGTAAGCCAAAAAAGTTAAAAAAAAATTAATTAATAAGAAAAGAACAGAACGACTTGGGTCGATGAAAAGTGCCCTCAGTCGTGTCGTGTCTAGAAGACAGACAAAAGATACAACCAACCTCAACAGCAACCCGTCGACGACCGTATCGGCGACGGCTGGGCGTTGCGCTGCATTCGTATAAACCCAGTCAGTTGCCACGAACCAGGCGGAAGCAACTACCCCGTTTGTACAGTAGCTACTATAATAAAGCATAATATCATCATTGTGACATCTCGAGTTGGTAGACATGCACACTGTTGTAAACCGATGAGCGATGGGGTTTTGGGAGGCCGATTCCATGTGATTGATACTACCAAAAGCAGTCTGATCTTTTGTAATTCTTTTGCCTCCTTCCAAGAGAGAGAGAGAGAGAAGAAGAAAAAAAAAGAAAGAAAAAAAAAAAAAAAAGGAGAGTTCTCTGGCATAACGTCTCACTTTCACTTCTCAAGTGCTGTGCGCGTATAATGGGAATTGTGTTCTTTTTTATTTCCATCTCATTAAGTCATTCTCACATCATGATATATCCTCCACACACATGCCTAACGCCCTCATTCCCATATCCCGTTACAGACGATTTATGCCTGGACCTTGGCCTTGATGATGTCCTTGAGGGTGACAGCGTCGGCAGCGAACTTGGAGATACCCTCGCGGAGCTTCTCGACGGCCATCTGCTCCTCGTTGAAGTCGAAGCGGAAGAGGGGCTCGTCGTTGATGTACGACTTCTTCTGGATGTCGAGACTCTGGGCCGCGGCGGAGTCGAGCTTCTTGGGGACGGGGGCGTCGGAGTTGAGGAGCTCCTCGAGCAGGTTGGGCTGGGTAGGTTGTTAGTGGTGTGCCAGCCAGCAAGTGGAGGGTTCAGGGACCGGGAGGGGGTAGGACATACAGAGATGGTGAGGTAGTCGCAGCCGGCAAGCTCGGTGATCTCGCCAGTGTTGCGGAAAGAGGCACCCATGACGATGGTCTTGTAGCCGAACTTCTTGTAGTAGTTGAAGATGGTCTGGACGGACTTGACACCGGGGTCCTCCTCCTTGGTGTACTCCTTCTTGTGGGCAGCCTTGTACCAGTCGAGAATGCGGCCGACGAAGGGGGAGATGAGGTAGGCACCGGCCTCGGCGGCGGCGATGGCCTGGGTAATGGAGAACATAAGGGTCAGGTTAGTGTTGATGCCATGGTCACGCTGGAGGATCTCAGCGGCCTTGATACCCTCCCAGGTGGAGGCGATCTTGATGAGGACACGGTCCTTGGAGATGCCCTGCTCCTTGTACAGCTGCAGGTGGGTTTGTCAATATCTCAGCAAGCAATTCGACGAGGGGACCGGGGGCAGACGCACGTCAATGATGTGCAGGGCCTTGTCGACGGAGGCCTTGGTGTCGAAGGAGAAGCGGGCGTCGACCTCGGTGGAGACCTTGCCGGGAACGACCTTGAGGATCTCCTTGCCGAACTCGACGAGGAGGGAGTCGAGGGCAGCGTCGACCTGCTCGTCGACGGAGCCGCCCTTCTTCTTGGCGTAGGCGACGGCCTCGTCAATCAGCTTGGCGTACTCGGGCTTCTTGGAAGCGGCGAGGATGAGGGAGGGGTTGGTGGTGGCATCCTGGGGCTTGTACTTGGCGATGGCTGCAAAGTAGCATGTTAGCTTTCTGTCCAAGTCGTCGTCGGCAACATGATGGGATTCTCCATCGTCAATTGTTCGTGATGGATTGGGGTACGGCGGTGGCGAGACGTCCCATCACACGAGACAGCAGCAACATAATGTGAGACATTTTGGGGGGAGGGGGGTCAATGGGCTAGCAGAGGCGGGGTGTACTGACAGGCAAAGTCGCCAGAGTCGCTGACAACGACAGTGCCGGTGGCCTTGAGCTGGTCGAGAGAGGTAGACATTTTGTTTGATGATGGATGAATGGTGGCGGTTGGGTGTGTGGTATCAAGAAGAGTTTGACTTGGAGAGAGAGAGAGAGGAAGAGAGAGGAAGAGGAAAGTAATAGGTGAGAGAAAAAAAGCGGACGTGAGGTTATAGAAGTAGTTTGGGATCTTTGTTGAGGGAGGAGCGCACCGCACCGGGGACGAGGGGTAGCATTTGTCCCTCACCTCACTGACACTTTCTAGACCCACACTAGGGGGGCGGTTGCTGCGTATCTGTATACTGTACTTACTGTACAGGAGTAAAATACTGCAAAACCGCCAGGATATACCCCCCCCATTTAAACTGATATTGGATACATGAATAGACGTAACGGCCTTCCAGAATGCTGATCACCCGTCTTCCTCGAAGACACCTTTTTCGGCAGGCTGTTGGTTTATCTTGTGATCCTACTCTGCTACGCAATGCTCTCATATGCCGTCCCGTGCCGTGCTGTGCTGTGCTGTGCTGCGCTCATGTCAATGAAACAACACGAGCAACACCAAACGACAAGCCCACCGTCACGCAGTAGCCTACCGTTTGGCGGGGTATTACGTCGACGGTCGCGGCTATCGTGAGTAAGGCTACCTACCTACCTGTACTCCGTACCTTCGCCTTTGCTTTCTAGCTGGTGCTAGACTAGCTATGTCGAGGGGAGGGATGTAGGGACCCCTCCCCCCCTCCACCACCGACCTTTCGCCCCTCCATGACCCAGAATCGGCGTCATATCCCCAGTGTTCCGTGGACACCCGTGGGCCCTCCCCCCTCGACCTACCTACCGCCTCGTTGATGCGCCGTTTGGAAATAGCAGAGGGTCGCTGAAAGGCCTCAACTTTCCTTGATCTCAAGAAGGGTCGATGAAGATCCGCCCTTGTCGCAAGACCCTGTCGAATATATTTTGTCTGCTGGGTCCAAGTGGCCGGGTGTTTCGGGTCCCCTAGAAAATCGCTCGATGATTTAATCCCACCTACAGTACGTGTGGCATCGCCCATGCCTGGGAGAGGCCGCTCACGGGCCAAGGTCGACGTAACGTCCCCATAATAAAACACCAAACCGGAGCCATGCAATCGCGAGTCGCCATGGGATTTGTCCATACTGTATCTCTACCCGAGTTGCTTGAATCGCTCATACAAGAAATGCAAGGAGAAAAAACAAAACAAAACAAGGCACACGGCTGAAGAAGCGAGGAATTCCGCCGGCCAAGCGACCAAGTGGGATGAGAAAGGCCCGACTCGAGCAGCATCAGTCCCTCACTGTATTTCGGTGATAGGCGATGCACGAGAACGAATGTTGAGCCCCGTGGTCATCGAAACCTACCGCCGACGCCGTCAAACGCCGTAACTACCTATCCGTTCATCCGTCCATCCCGGCTCGGGAATGAGCCTTGGGTTTACTCATCGCCCCTTGCTCGAGACTAGGCCTTTCTCATATATATGCAGCCTGTTCTTCACTCACCCGAAAGTGACCTAGTGACCGAATCAGGAAAGAACACAGCATCGCGAAACCCGCACGCTCGGCTATTACTCAGCTCCCTCTAAAGCCCGCGGGGGAGCAAATAGAAAAAGAAAAAGAAAAAGAAAAAAAAAGAAGAGAGAGAGAGAGAGAGAGACCATTCGTGCTTCTCGCCTTTCACCACGTGCTCGCCATCGCTAGCCATTGGCCCAAAAGCTCTCGTGCCGGAATCCCCAATCGCCATTTATCCGTCAGATCCGCGAGCCGCTTGAATTGCCGCTTTGCCATGGCCTTTTTTACCGTTATCTCTGGGCGGCATTTGCTAGGTATTATTCCCCCCCAACCCCGCGCTGGCAGGGAACGAGTCCCGTTATCGTGAGAAAATGAAAGCCCTGAGAGAGAGCCTGTACAGCAGCACTTCCGCGCCAATGTCTGGCGAGCTTTTTTTTTCTCTCGCGGTAACCATTCTAGCCCGCTAAAAAAACGAATAATAAAAAAAACGCCAAGTCATGCCCCCTCCTTCCCAAAAAGACACCCCCACTCGAATCAGGAAACTCCGGCTCCCGCTGGCTCTCCTGGCTCTTTCCCGTGTGCTTCTCTGGCCTTCCACCGCCTCCCACCATACGTATCGTGACCTGCTCGGTTTTCCTGACCCTGGTCTTGCCCTGGTGGGAGTGAGACATTGCGCCGACCGGCCGACCGGCCCGCCCACCAAACGGCACCGGCGAACACACCACTCCATTACGTAAACTCCGAGAACCAACAACCGTTTGACTTTCACATCTCCGTCACAATTCGGAAATCCAACTCATACCAACATCTCCCATGCAGCCATATTTGTGAATGGGAGAAACTCAAAAACAATCCTATCGGCCAACCTGATAAGGCCTCATGCCGCCTATTGATTCATGCAAGGCTACTGGGAATTATGTATGGACTTTTCCTGGACCGCCCCACCCCCAAACCCAAAGACATTTACCCATCCTGCCCATAACCGTCCGCTTCCTTTAGTCCTCGGTGATATCACCGTACTCCCACATACCGAGTCTCTCCTCCTTCGCCTTGGCCTCCACCTCTTTCAGGTGCTTCAGGTAAGCCGCATGCTGGCTGCTGCGCTCCCACGCCTTGAGCTTCTTAGGCACCATGGCCTGGCCGTTGGCAACAATCTCCTTGTTGATGGAGTCGTTCGGGCCCGGCTTCTTGTCACTTGCGTTGTAGTCAAAGAGCGTAATGTAGCTGACACCCTCCTTGTTGTCCACAAAGTCGAAGCTGGCAACCAGCTCCTTACCCTCAGTCAGCTCAGCGATGAAGCCGATAGACTCCGAGAAGTATTCGGGCGCCGTCGGCAGCTGCAGGAACGACAGTGAGGCGTCGGTGGCCTGCGCCTTGAGCTTCTGGACCGTGAACTGGGGTTGGTCCAGCGGTCTCAACTTGGACCAAGGCTGCTTCTCCGAGTTGCCGTAGTCAATGTAGACAACCTCGGCCACCTTGGCCGCGCGGTCGTTGGAGCGAATGCGCGCTCTGTACCACTGGCCGTCGGCCGAGAACTGGGCGGCGACGTAGTCGCCAGCCTTGGGTGCATCACCGACAGGCTTGCTGTTCTTGGAGTCCAGGTGGAACTTCTTGAAGTCGTTCATGAGCGTCGTCAATGCGGCAGTGCCCTTGCCGATCTCCTGGATCTTGATCTTGCCGTTGCCGTCAATGTTGGTGATCACTACGTCGCGGTAGTCCTTGGGCTTGTTCTCGTAAGCCTCAGGGGTGTCGTTGGTTGTGGTGTCGGCGGGTGCCTCCTCCTCCTCCTCCTGTGACGGGTCCCAGCTGTGCCACATACCCTTACGCCCCTCCTTGGCCTTCCTTTCGGCGGCAAACAATTCAGTAGCATTGCCCGACTTCTCAGCGGAGTAGGCGTGGACGGAAGCAAGACCCTCCTCGACAAGCAGCTTGGCAAAGTTCTCGCGGTTGATGTACAAGTCGCCGATGAACCCACCGACCTTGTCAATGTCGTAAATGTCGACCTCGACATCGCGCTGGTTGCAGCGGCGGTTTGCGAGGTCAATGGCCTCCTGGCCAAACTCCTCGCCCTTCTCGCCGCGGGGCCCGGGGGCGCGAGGAGCGCGGATACCGCCCAAAACCAGCGTGAGCTTGATGCCCTCACGAGGAATCATAAGGGTGAAACGAGATCCAGACTTGACAAAGTCAACAACGGCGGGCACCTTCTTCTGTCTTGACAGTGTACCGAGCTGGATCTTGGCTTTTTGTTGAGACTCGGAAACGTCAACAAACTGCTTGATCTTGGGCGCCTTGCCCGACCAGATACCCTTCTTCTCTTCTTTGGCCTTCTCCTGAGCAGCGAGAAGCTCGTCATAGTTAGGCGAGCGGTCAGTGTCGTCCTTGCGGTGGCGGATCACAGAAGCGTAGCCCTCCTCGACCAAAAGCAGGCCAATGTTCTTGCCCTTCTCAGTCACTGTGGCAACTTCACGAGCCTCGAAACCATCAGCAGCAGGCTTAGAACCATCAATGCTAATGCGGACGTGCTTTCCGATGATTTTCTTGCGCAGGAACTCCTTCGCCTCATCTTTGTAAGGCGCCTCGGACGCTTCGTTGTTGCGGGGACCGCGGACACTGCTGAAGTTGATTCTCTTCTCGTCGGTGCCAGCCTTGTTGCGAACGATGATGGTGTCCGCACCGATGACCTTGGCGACCACCATGTCAGAAGACGAGGCATCGGCCTTGGCAACGTGGTGCTGATGCATGCGCAGCTTCTTGCCCTGGGCAGTCTTCTCAGCAGCACGGAGGCTGGCCATCTTCTCGCCGAGCATGGTAGAGTGGAAGTCGTTGCATCTCGCAAGACCCTCGGACAGGAGGAACTCGGCGATGTTCTTATTGCCGTTGGGGTGGATGATGGCCGCAACCAGCTGTCCCTGGGCGCTGGCGCCAACGATATCAACCTTGACGCGACGCTGGAGCAGCCTCTCCTCGACGAACGACTTGGCCTCGTTTCCAAACTCCTCAGCAGGCTGGGTCTGGCCGGTAGACTGTATCGTTCGCTCAGTGGTCGGCGTGCGGATTCCGGCAAGGAGCGTCATGACCTGCACGTGCTTCTTATCCGAAAGCAGAAGTCGCACGAGTAGACGATCGCCACTAAGGACCCGCTCGACAATTCCATCAACGGTCTTGCCCTTCCACTCGTTCATGAACTGGGGACCGCCGAGGTCATTCTGGACCTCGATGTGGCCGCCCTTATCGGACCACACGCCCTTGCCGGCGTTCTTGGCCTCGGTTTCCAAGTTGCGCAGGTTCTCGAGACGCTGCAAAATCGCCTCGTCATCTTCCTTGCGGCCAGCGTCTTCCCTGACCTTGAGCCATCCGGCCTTGACGGCTTCATCGGGCAGTGAGGGGCCGTCCTTGGAAAGTAGAGCAGTGCCGAATTCACGTCCAGAGGGTACGGTGTAAGCTACTGTGCATTGTATCTGCTTGCCAACGACAAGTTCCCTGAGGTATTCTCTTGATTGGAAAGCGAAGGGCTCGTCGCCCTCCTTGCTCAGACGAGGGGCGCCAACATATGCGAGGGAGAAGGTCTTTTCGGCTTTCGGGTTGTTGGGAGCGGTCAAGACAAGGGTGTCGCCACTCAGCACGCTCTTGACCTTGGCGAAGAAGGGCTTCGACATGATGGATGATCAATGAGCGACTGGGCGTCTAGGAGATACACTGTACCAAGTTAGTGCGCTATCCATTTCAAGCTGCTTGCAGTGGCCTTTGAATATTTAGTGTTCAGTGTCTCGGCCTTGCCGTCGTAGGTAGTCTACAGCAATAGCTTGCTTGATGACCTTTGGCATGCAAAAGCGGCAGAACTGCTGGGCGACCCGTGACTCCTTGTGCACATGCGGCCGAGAAAACAAAGAATTGTGCTCAGATGAGGGCGTTTGCAAGCTGCATGGATAGGTGCAGTGTCTCCGGGCAGCGACATCAGGTAGCCGTGGACTGAACCATGAACGGAAAGGTGATCCCTCGGTAGCAGTGATTACGAAAGAAAATCCATTGACTTACAGTCTAATGAGAGGGAGATGAGAGCGAATATGACAGAGAAGAAGGGAGGGAGAGAGAGGATGCGGTGATGGATTCAGGGAAAAGGGAGAGTTGAGAAGAAGGGGTAACAACAGGCGATTGTTCGATGAACGTTCGACAGTCAGTCGTACCTACCGCCTTTTTGACAGCTTGCCTCAATTTCGCCGGGTCTCGAGCAAGCAAGTGTGGGGAAAGGAGGTTCAGGGACCACACGGAGGCTGCAGGCAGGGGTAGCAGCTCGCCGCTGGCCAGTTACAGGCGGCGGGTGGCTAAGCGAGAGCGGGGTTGGAGCTAGTTTACTTAGAAGAGCTTATGTAAGGCATTGCACCTTCGGATTTCGTGCCTAGCAAGGACAGCTTCCTTCCCCTATTATATGCCTAGCATCTAAGCCTCCATAGCCAGAAGGACAACAAAGCATCGTTTGGTGACCGAGGCAATAGTTCAACGGTTTAAGACCGGTCTAGAGGCTGTGTTGATTTAGTTAGATCTTATGTGCATCAACTGTTCTCTCACCTGTACTATGTTAACAAGCAGTATGGAGTATCACAAATGGCCGGTACTAGGTAGTGTAAGGTAGGAAAGCAAGCACAGCCACTTGTGTGATGCCAGTTCTACCTCTGTTCACGTCATCTCTTACCCCTCACAGTGCAAGGACTAAACCCCACCATCACCACCGAACAATCCAGTTAAGACATCCCAAAGGCCGATACTTCACGACACGAGAACAGATATTACGGTAATTTTTGTTATATTTTTCGCAGAGTATGAATCGAAGCTCGATGCCGAGTATGGTATCGCGATATCGGAAGCCATCGACGGAAGCTTGTCTCCTGGTTATGGTAGCTTCCGAGGACCCCCAAGCTCGACAACCCCGCCTCGGGCCGCACTACGACCTGGACAACAGCTAGATTGGCGACCAAGAAACTTAGTTAGAGATGCCAATGACACCTGTGAAAAAAATGTTAGGCCTCCTGTCTTTCTTTTGGCATAGCATCCAGCAGTAGTTACTTACCGCATGCGGGTCGGGGACCGGCGTTGCCGGTTTTCTTGGACTCCTCGTTTCCGCCCTTGCCGAGGTCGTCAGTGCCGCCGTGGACAACGACGGTGCGGCCGATGATGCTCTCGGGGCCGATCAGCTTGACGTGCTTGTCGGTGACGGTGCCCTTGGAGTTGCCCTGGCCATCGGTCTCGATGTTGCCGAGGTCACCGACGTGGCGGTCCTCGTCTTCGGGGGCGCCGTGGCCCTTGTTGTGGGGGTTGACTGCAGTGTTCCGCGGTCAGCAACCTCGTTTCTCTTTGACTCAAAACTTCCCTGCCCTACCACAGGGCTCGGGATCCCTGGGGGTGATCTCACAGTGAGGGCCGGCGGAGGTGCAGCCGTTGGTGTTGTCACCGAAGGTGTGGATGTGCATGCCGCGCTTGGCGTTGGGGTCGTTGCCGGTGATGTCCCAGGTGATCTTGGTGGGAGCGGACTCGGACTCCTGCTCGAAAATAATGGAGCCGGTGACCTTGGAGTCACCACGGACGACAGCGACTAGAATACAAAGTTAGCAACCGGCTGATCCTCATCTTCAATTCCTTGCTGGGCCCCGTCCTTCCCACCCTCCCCTCTGGAACAGAACATCCCAGGCTTCTCCACGACAGGAACGACGGAAACCATCTGCACTTGGACCAAACAAATCGAGAGCTGCGAGGCAAGGGACGCGATAATGGAGTCGTTCGAGCTTGCAGATTGGCCAGTGGAAAGCTGTTCCCAGTCGTGGCATGTTGCAGAGCCATCAGGGTGTTTCCTCATTCTCACACAAAACTCGCTCAATCCAGCTCAAATGTGTGGCTGGACTGCGTCACCCCTCCATCCCCAGCGCTGCGGCTCAGCACATATAAAGAGTCGTACTTACCAGCCTTGACCATTTTGAATGATTTCTGTTTTTTCTTTTCTGGGTTGAATAGGTTTGTTGTAGAGTGAGGTTGTTGCTCAATCGACAGTTGTTGGGGAGAAGAACGATGAAGGTTTATGGTGCAAAGAGGGGAAGAAGGCGGAAGTACCTTATGGAGCCTTTGGAGGGACCACCAGCCCCAGGTGGAAAGACAAAGAAAGAGGCACACGCCCGCCAGGATAGGACAGGACAGGATGCAAAGGCCGGCATGGCACAAGATTGCACAAACTCTGGGCCGAAGACGGGGGCACAATTCGGAGATCCGAGTACCAGAAGCTCGCCGCCTCGCCTCGCTCTCTTACTCGCCCAGCATCCTTCCTTGCCCACTGATCCTCTCCCTCCCCTCTTCTCCGTGCCGTCTCGGCTGGGTGCCAGCTTATGCTTGGATGGTGGGGAATGGATGGCCTCTGCCCCGCTCGCAGTATCTCATTGTCGTCATCTTGACTGAAGTGGGCTCAGGATGAGCTTTTGAGCGCAGCTGGTTGGCTTGTTGTTCCCGTGGCATTTGGAGCGCTTACAAATGGCTGATGCAACACGACAGGAACAGCAGGTAGAGAGGTTTGCCAGTTGCCTTATTGCTGCTTCGACTCCGTGTTGTCAGAACGTGAAGCATCATCCATTCGCACCAGTGTGAGGAGCCGATGGTCGGCCGGCCAGCCTGAGCACACGCACAGGGGACTGGTCCCCCATTTTCGCTGAACAACCCCTCACTAATACCTTCCCTGGCGTGGGCAGGTAGTTACGGCACGGTGGCACGGCAGAGCAGAATCGCCGCAAACCGCATAACGTGGTTCGAAACAGCCTGGGCCAGCAATCAAGACGACGAGGCATGGCAGGCATCCAGCTGTTCCGGTCCATCTGCAGTCCTGACAATTGAAAGCTTCCAGCTTGTTGAGATGAGGCGCCGTAATAGTCTTTTACTGCCGTTGGTCGACGACGCCTGATACGGCGGGGAGTAACCCGGTAAGTATCCAGATCGGGTCGGCAAAGCCACCTACAATCGCGAGCTTCAGCCATTTTCAACGCGATGCACTGTATACGCCGTCGACACTAGCATAAAGCCCTGACCTTGGGCTGGGGGGAAGTTGCAAGGCTCATCCCGAAAACAAACAGATATAACGCGTCATACAAGTCGTTGCTGTGGCTGGACGGTGGCTAACATGTCGGCTTTGAAACATTTGGTCCTACAGGCCCAGCAGCATCATGTGTTTTGGCGTGTTGTGCTTATTCATAGCAGATGCTCCCCCTCTTCGTAAGTGTAGACCATCGGGGCAGTAATCAATTACAACCAAAGCAATCCCGATATCCGAATTGTCGTTGTATCCGTCATTACCCGACTGGTTCGTCTCGCGACGCTCGCAGACAAGGGACGGGGAACCCGAACAAGTGGAACATATTTGAGGCAAAAGGAGCCCCTCCCCCGACACGCCTCCTGCATGATGCCGAACTGACTGGCCAGTCGCGTTTGGCACCCGTCCGTTTAGGAATGCTGACGAGTACAGAGAACCAATCCCACGAACGGTGTGCCGTGCCCTCAGGACTCAGTCAGCCCTACGGACAGAGAGGTTCACGGTCCAGGCCACAGCATGGTGGGAAGCTCTTTCTTTTTCTCATTTCGTTTTGTTATCAACATCGTCTGTGGTTAGAGAAACGGGTCGGGTAGGGTATTAACTTGAGTAGCTTCGCTACCGCGGGGTGCCGGATGCGAGATGTGAGACAGCGACGGCCACGGCTCTGCAGCGCACGGGTTGAGCACGATCCTGACGGGACACGTGGAAAGAAACTGGCCATCTCCGCATCTCATGGTTGCAGACATTTCTACTACTAGACAAGCCTAGGTCTGGAGGGGGCGGTCGCCGACGAGCTGACCACCTCAATGCTGTTGTGGTATGACACTCAGTGTATGGATATCGATGGGCAGTAGGCCGAGAGATAAAGACAAAGACGAACATACCATTCGCATGTCCGTCTCTGACCGGCAAATGAGATGAAGCTGGGGGGGGGGGGGGGGGGGGGGGGTAAGACTGGAGCTCCCGCGGGAGGTCAAGGAGGTATGGTCCTTGTCAAAGGTAGTACCGGTACCTATCGGAAGACTCTTTCTAAACGAGGATAGAGTTCGCTAAAACATCGATATTCCCCCGGTAGGGACCCTGGTTTGTTGGAATTTTCCGTGAGCCCAGGGCGTTGAACAGGGTTGGTTCAACCGTTTGTGCAGCCTGAGTGTGCGGTTAGTCGAAATGTGAGACTCGAAAGAAGGGGGAGGGGTGAGGGAAGTGACAGGTGGACGGGGTGAGAGGAAAGAGATCCGCGGGAGGGCATTGGCAGAGTGAATGAAGGAAGCCTTGGGTTGGCGAGGTGTTCAATTACACAGCAGAGGAGGAGGTGAGGGCTGGACCTGAAGTGAAGTGAAGTGTTATGTGATGATGTATGATTCATCGTAGATTTCGAGATTGAACCGCTGTTCAGGGCCAGGTGCCATTTCAGCTCGGCCCATAATTAGAGAATACATGGCCTGTTCCAAACCAGTTCAGCGTCGACTCTTCTTGTATACCCTTGTTGGTATTGGAATGAACCACTCTCTCTTATAGGTAGGTAGTTTGCATGGTGGTGAACATACACCCCAGGCACTTTAATAGTGCACGTTATCCGAGGAGCCCCAAGCCGGACATCAGACGTCTTTACACTATCAAAAGTCATGGGTGGTGTCTAGTATCCTGCGCGTGTATGTATGTGTCTTCCCGCCTTTGTTCCACCTGTCTTGTAGACACGCACCCTTCCTGTCGGACAGGTGACTCGAATATGTCGGGCTCTCTCAGTGCAGCACAATATAATTGAGTGTGGTTTGAGCATCTTTCATCCTCGGATCATTCCCTTGTCTCCCCTCTGAATGCTGTCGAGGTCGAGGATCGGGACCCGACACAGGCGACGTCCAGGCAAGCGGCCAATGTACCTTTCCGTAGTGTGCCTAGCCCGTAGGTACATGGCCTCGGCCAAGCCAAGACTTTGTTCGACCCAGCTAGACATACACCGCACACTACAATCTCTTATTCTTGGCCTGGGCCCGGCAACCAGAGCAGAGCGATATTCCGGCAGATAGGTAACAGAAAGAAGACCAGATACGGTAACCGCCCGGCCTATTCCTAGGAAACAGGACTAGTTAGTTTCCTTTGCTGTCTGTTCCCCCGTTCCGTTGGTGCCTCACAATTTGGCCCCGGTGCGCCGCTTCCCCTGCCCGGTCCTCCGCCTCCCACCTCCCACTACCTATCCACCTACACACGCACAACTTCGCATCTGGTGCCTAGCCAGCCTACCTCCCTCTTACCGACCTACCCATCATTAGCGAAAAAGGTAAAAACCGAAAGTGAGGTGTGGTGTCTCTCTTTTCTAGCACCACAACCTGACCCGGCACGAGACCACTGCCCTCGTCTTCTGACCGAGGAAAGAAAGGGGGAGAAAAAGAAGAAAAAAGACCTCCCCAATTCCGACGGGCCAGGCATCGAGGAAGTGTGAGCGCGCAAACACACACACACACACACACACACACACACACACGACGAACGCAGCCACTGTCTGCGACTCGAACCGCAAAAAAGGAACAAGACATTAAGAGGAAGACAAGCGTCAGAGACATAACCAGAGCAGACCAAAGTCCCTGTTTTGTCCGGCAACATCCTTGGAAACAGGCCTCGGACCTCACCTCACCTCGGGACGCCAAAGCCGTCCACGTCCGCCCTGCGCGATCGATACCGCCAGCCCCAAGCCAAACCCGACGGACGACTCTGGCTTTTGTAACTCTGCGACGACTCTCCAGGCCCGGTCTTGTGGCTTGGTTTGCTCTCCTCAACTGGCAAGACGTACCGCACCGCATCGCACCGTCTTACATTACTGCCTCACTCTCGTCCTTCAGTCTAAATCAAGGCCACTCTCACCTGACAACACCCAAAGTTCTGCGCGCAGGACCTTCTTCCACGGAGCCGCACTGCTATTCTGCGCCTGACGACTGTCCCCAGGTCACTTGGCTTCCTGTCTGTAGTGCGACAACCGCTGGCTCGTGTGTCAGTCCTAGGCGATCATCAGCCCAATAACCTTCTCCGCAACTTGCCCCCGCCGCACATCACTGCCCAGAGGCCAGCCCAAGGACCTCGGTCCTATTACGCCCGTCTGCGCCGCACTACAGCGCAGCGCAGCACATCACCACGACACATAACTACCACCACCATAACCAAACGAAGCCTCACCCCGCGACCACCTGGACGAACGATCGGCCAACTCTCCATCGAGCACCGTCAACAAACCTGCGACGATTCGCTTCCCGGTGCATATCCAAACAATTCGTCGTCGACTCACGAACTGCCCGGTCCAGCGGGCAACAACCTCGATCGAGCTCGCCACGAACAGATGCGATCGACCCCCTCCACCATCCTCAACAGGTCGACATAGAAGCCCGTGGGAGAGGCTGACCTCACCGACTCGTCTTGACGTCGCTGTCGCCACCATTCGCTCGCGACCGCCATGTCTTTCCGAGGCGACGGCCAGCGCCGTTACGGCCACCTTCCTCCCGTGCAATACCCCACACCTGAGCAGTCGCAAGACCAGTCTTCTGCTTACCTCGCCCGACGCCCGAGTTTCAACAACGGTGATGACGCCGCCATGTTCGACCAGACCCGCGCACAAGCCCGAGGTCATCGGCCATCTGCTTCGAGGGGCGAGGACGAACTCTTCCTGACGAGCCCCACTGCCTCGAGCCATTCCGGCGGCGGGCGTCACAGCTACGGCTCAAACAACAATGCGCTCTCCGGCTACCAGCACCAGTACCAGGCTGCATCGCCCCCAACGTCTTCTCACTCCAACTACAACCCCCAGGCCTTTGCGCGGACGCCATCGACGGCCTCCACGTCTTTGCCATACCACCCAGCCCCTTCGAGCAGGTATGGGTCCGCCGCTTCGCCGACTTCCTACACGTCTCCCACTCAGTCCAGCTACGCGCCGGCGGCATACAACCCGGCTGCCTACGCGGGCACAACAGCCCCCCAACGGCAGCCGACATATTCTGGCTACAACAACTACGGTCAGAGCTACGGCTCTCCGACCGCCACGGGGTTTGGTCAGTCGCCCGCCTCTTCTTACCCGTCTGCTTTCCAGTCTGTCCAGGCGCCCTCAGCCACTTCGCCAGCGCCAACCTATGATTCATCATACTCCCAATCTTACGGCAACAGCTACAATTCGTACCCAACGAACGGTAGCAGTTCCGCAGCGCCGTACCCCTCGGACAACTCGCAAACGCCGTACCCGATGCAGACGTCTATGCCCGTCGGGCCGGGTTACAGCGACCCTTTGGCCTATTACACTAGATCGACGCGATCCGACTCAATATCGTCTGCGGTTTCGTCGACGCAGGTTCAACAGCAACACTCACCCGGCTTGCAGCGACATCCCACCAACGCCCCTCTGCCCAGCCGCCCTATGGAAGAGCCCACCTGGGACCCGAGCACCATCACACCCACCGACGAGGACCAAGCTCAACTCCAAGACAATATCATGCAAGACATTGAAGCCGAATTGGGCGGCCGGCACCGTCCTCTCCCGATCAACGGTGGGCAGTTCTCCGATGACGAGCTGCAAGGACTGCGACGATATAACTCAGACTTGGCCAGCATGGCCCAATCCACATCTGCCTCGAACGCCAACAGGAATCAGCTCGCTGCTTTCGACTACGACGACGATGACGACGATCCAGAGGGAACTGCGGGGGTTTTGGCCATGCAGCAGGCTGAACTGGACGACAGGAGGTTCAGCAGCTTGCCGCCCTTCATTCCGCACGATCTTCCAGTCACCTCCAATCCCCTTCCGCCGCCTCCTGAGGAGCAGAGTGACGATACTGACTACGGTGGCATGGATCTGGGCGCACTTGCTGGCGGGTATGCCGGAAACCTGGCTTACGGCAGCGAGGTACCGACCCAGGACGGATCCCGGCCGCTGCCTAACCCCAACGACTACGCAGGGGCATCCCCATTCGCAGAGGCAGGAGTTGACTATGGTGGCACCGGTGGTTTGCAGGCACCGTCTGCTCACCGACTGAGCTTCGACGAAGGCGATGAGCCAGCTTCTCTGCACTCGAAACAGAGTGGCAGCGAGTCGCCCTACAAGGAGGATTATCCGGACATCTTTTACCACCCCGGATTGTCGAACAGACCGCTTCCAGCCTTGCCTCCAGGTCCGGGCAGCGACACAAGCTCTCTGCTCTCTGCCCACCCCACTACCCGCAGTTACCATTCCCACACCCTCAGCACCGAGTCTCGGACACTTCATGAAGGCGGCTCTGACTACTACGGCGGTTCCACGGGTCTCAACTCGCCCTACCCAGAGCGGTCCATCTCTCTGTCGAGTCACAGCCACACGCCCCATGTTCAAGCGCCGGTCCGGTCACGGACAGACGCGGCGGAAGAGCGGAGAAAGATGGCCAGATACCAGACGCAACAACAGCAGCTTGCGGCTCAGAATGGGCTGCCGTACGACGGCTACGAATCTGGAACGCCGTCGTCATCAGTTACCTATGACATGATCACGCTGCCTAGCGGTCGGAAGAGGAAGTTTGTCCCGTCAAAACTCACATCTGGTGACCTCAGAAGGTGCTCAGAGCCGTGGGCATTGAGTGGAATCGCGGCTTGGATCCGCGAGATGGCCGACGCTGAGCCGGACCTTAAACAAAAGACGGTCGAGGAGGCACTGCTCAAGCTCTTCACCGCCAAAGTCCCCACCATCAACGTTGCCGACGCCGAGCTTCTCAGCACTCGCGTGTCGCAGTTGATGTTGGACGCCGGGGTTCTCGTTCCCGAGGAGGAATGGGTCAAGTTCGGCAACGGCACTGTGTCTGGAGTCTTGCCGCAGCTGACGGGCTCTGGCTGCTATGCGCCGAAGCTTCATGAGGACGACTCTCAGCCGGGTCGCTGCTACTCTCACCAGTGCATGAGGACGCTGAAGAAGGCCAACCTGGATGAACTGCTTCTCGAAGAAGTCAAGCCGGCGGATTGGAACGTACACTACAAGATTCAAGAAGCCGAACTTGCCGAGAAGCCAAAGAAGGAAGTCGAACGCCAGCACGTCTTGCACGAAATCGTGAACAGCGAGGAGTATTTCATCAGCCAGCTCGAGGTTCTGCGGGTGCTATACCGAGACCACCTGCGGAACAGCCAGCCCCCCATCATCCCGCCCAACAAGATTGATAAGTTCCTTCTAGTTGTGTTTGGCAAGGCCGATGCTGTTCAGTCCGTCAACAAGGACCACCTTTTGGCGCAGCTGAAATACCGTCAACAGGAGCAAGGGCCGTGGATCACCGGGTTTTCCGACCTCTTCCGCGAATGGATTCGAAAAGCCAAAGATGTCTACATTGACTATGCATCCCAATTCCCCTACGCAGAGTACATGGTGCGGAAAGAGGCTGATCGCAACCTGCTCTTCCGCAACTTCCTCGAGCAAGTCATGAGGCACAAGCGCTCCGAGCGACTGGGATGGCAGCATTTCCTCAAGACCCCCATCACGCGGTTGCAGCGGTACTCGCTTCTACTTGAGACTGTCGAGAAGAAGACTCTTCGGGACGACGAAGAGAAGGCCAACCTGGCAAGGGCGATCGCAGAAATCCGCCACGTCACTATGGAATGTGATACCAAGGTCGCTGAGATGCAGAAGAAGGTGGAAATGATGGAGCTCAACAACATGCTCGTCCTTAGGCCAGGCTTCCACTCGGTCCTCAACCTCGACCACCTCGGCAGAGAGCTTATTAAGCAGGGCGATTTGCAAAGACAGGGTTCCAAGGGTGTCAGATGGGTTGACACGCATGCTTTGCTTTTCGATCACTACTTTATCCTTGCAAAAGTAGTGACGCCCAAGGACGGCAGGGGAGAGAAGAAGTACGACGTATCGAAAGAGGTGAGTTGTTATGATGTCTGAGAGCTGCTCGTGCGCTAACCGTTTAGCCCATCCCGATGCCTCTGCTATTCCTTGACAGCATGAACGACGACCCCATATCAAAGCAGAAGAGCATTACCGCGCCCTTGGCCCGAACTACCGGAGCAGGTTCAGACCCTAGACTGAACAAGATTGTCACCAACGGTAGCGAGCGTCCCGGGTTGGAGCACGTTCCAACGAGTTCCTCGATAACGTCGAACGATCCCGAGGGCAAGATCCTCTACCCTTTCAAGATCAAGCATCTGGGCCACGAGACGTACATATTGCACGCCACGTCGGCCCAGAGCCGCGCGGAATGGGTCGAAAAGATCATTGAGGCCAAGACGAGGCATGCGAAGGCGCTCTTCTCACAAAATGCCGAGCCTTTCCGCCTCCGTGTTCTTGCCGACAGCGCGTTCGTTTACGATGCGGCGTCAGCTGTTGGCAGACAGCCGGGTGTTCCTATTCGCGGTACCCCTCTCGACCGAGCAGTCCGTGAGATTGAAGAGATCTACGGGCCTGGTAGAGGGCCAGCCCCGGTATGCAGAGCACAGGTCAACTGTGCCTGCGGCTTCAATGCGTTCGGCAAGTCCATCGTGGCCATCGGCACGGACTACGGCGTGTACATCTCGGATGCCACAAACCCCCGTGGTTGGATGAAGGTGAGCTATAGTGTGTCCTGCGACACTCAGCAGAGCTGATTGCTAACCCTGAGCAGAGCGTTCAAACAACCAGAGTGACACAGATTGCCGTTCTTGAAGAGTTCTCTGTCTGCCTCATTATTGCCGACCGGTCTCTCGTCGCTTATCCGTTGGATGTGGTCGCCCCAGTCTCGAATTTCCCTGCTCCAGCGCACGACAACCCCAGACGAGCGCCGCAGAGGTTAGCCAAGGATGTTGCCTTCTTCGCCACAGCCCGCATGAAGGACCGCATGCTTGTCTTTTTCAAACGGAAAGAAGGCATGCACAACACCTTCAAGGTCCTCGAGCCCGTCTTTCAGAAGGCGAGCGAAAAGAGGCCTAGAATATTCGGTGGTCGCAAGGGGATGGGAGGCAGCACCGATGCCTTCCGCGACTATGACGAGTTCTACCTCCCGACAGAATGCTACTCGCTCAACCTCTTCCAGAGCTACATCGCGGTGTCTACCGCGAAGGGTTTCGAGCTGCTTACCCTCGACAAGAAACAGACGATGTCGATCCCCGACCTGAAGCAGCCCGCCATTGCCAACATCGCCAGCCGGATACGGGATCAGAGACCGCTAGGTATGTTCAAGCTGAACGACCAGGAGTTTTTGCTTGCGTACGAGGATTGTGCCGTATACGTCGACAAACACGGTGACGTGAGCCGCACTCTTATTATGGAGTACTCGGGCAAGCAGAAGAAGGCTTCGAGCGCTACGATGTACGGTCAGTACCTCCTCCTCTTCAACGGGGACTACGTGGAAGTACGAAACGCCGAAAATGGCCGCCTCCGACAGATTATCGCGGGCCGGGATGTGAGATGCCTCGACTTCGGTGTCAGGGGCCCCACGGGTGGTAACTCCTCAAACAACCAGAACTGGTTGAGCGGACAGACCCCGACCGGAGAGGACTCAAAGGGAACGGTCAAGATCGCAATGAGCCATCCTGAGCAGCATGGCATACAGATTGTTATGGAGATGCTTCTCAACGATGGCCACATGGAGAAGTAGGGTTGGACGGGCCTTGCGAGGAGGACATGACGATTGATGAGAGGGGCACCACGTGTTTCTTTAGCAAGAAAAAGGTTGCGGTTACGCAAGCTAGCTGCACAAACCGTAAGGCGTTTTGGGTCAACGCGGGTCATGAAATGTTTTTAGCAGTTGTGTTTTTTTTGCGCGGGTTGGAAAGAAGGGGCCGATGGACAGCGGACGGTTTTATAAGTCAGTCCTCGGCCACGGCCAGGATGTTTGAGTTTCTTGTCTCTCTGGTCTGTTGTTCTCCGTTTGGGAATTTCCTCCACTATCATCTTCTTCTGCTGCTGCTGCTGCTGGCTGTAGAAACAGCAGGATAGATGGGGGATACGACGTCTTTGCATATGTGGAATATAATGATCCCTACGTTGACGCAATCTTTTTGAAATCCCTCTCTGTAAGCCCGGAGATGTGTCTCAAACAAGGGCATGTCGGGACCAGCCGCCGAGCTTATGGAGTCGTCAGCATTGCTCTCATGACAGCCGCCCTTGGACGCGGCGAGAGAAGGCTGACCACGACGCTACGAATCGCTTTCGCCCGCCAAGTCCTGCATCATCTCAAACGGGTAGTCAATAAGCACTGCGGACAGGGGATGATTACGCATTCCAGTACAATTCCGCCCTGTCCTCCGGGCCGCGTCGCAACACATCTGTCAGACATTGGGTCTTGGCCATCGAATAGAGTCATGGTATGCACGCCGCCAGCGGGCTTTTTTGATGCCCGCGCGCCCGGCACAGCTCGGGCAAGGGGTCCGGATCCTGCCTTGTAATACGCCCTATGCTGTGTGCGGAAGGTTCTTTGGAATCCGGTGCCTTGGCTTCATTATCATTATCTGGGCACACGGAAGTGGAGGCTATATAACTCCATGTTCTGTCGCCGAGGCCCGGGAGGGACATGATGGGAGCGTCACCTGGCCACCGTGTACGCGTTGAAGCTTCGCCCTGTGTGCGATAGAAAAGAATAGCGGTGAATGAGACGTTGCGAAAAAGGGAAAAAGACAGTGTTCTCTCCTCGGTGACGCAAACCGAACCGGCTCGGGAGGTTGGCAGCCGACATCAAAACCAACGACACCCCGGACCAAACCAACCATGCGTTCCTCATTCTCCACCACCCTAGCAGCCGCGGCCGCCCTCGCGGGCCTCGCAGTCGTGACGCCCTACCAGTGCCCCCCTCTCGGCGCCGTCCTGCCCAAGGCCAAAGCCCCGAGCACGCACCCGGCCGTCCGCGCCGCCCGTGGCGGCCTTCACGGCGTCACTCGAGGCCGAGACGGCGGCGTTCAACGGCTCCGCCGTCTCCATCGGCGTGAAATCGGCGCTCGAGGACGCGCCGCTGGTGGACTTCCACTTCACGCCGCGCGAGCGCGACCCGCGGGGCGCGCAGGCCGTCGACAGGCACACGGCGTACCGGCTCGCGAGTGTGTCCAAGCTGTTCCCGGTGCTGGCGGCGCTGCAGCGCGGAGACGTGATCGGGTGGGAGGACCCGCTGACCAAGTTCATCCCGGAGCTCAGGGACGCGCCCAAGGGGGCGCTGGACTACCACGACTGGGAGGAGATCACCGTCGAGGCCGCGGCTACGCACATTGGCGGCATTTCGGGCGAAAGTGAGTGATTCCTCCCCTCCCCTCCCCTCCCCTTTTTTTTCGGCTGAAAGTACTGGTGAGCTGATGGGGAATCGATAGTGACGACGGATGGCGCAGCGTATCCTGGAGACTGGGAGGCCATCGGACTGCCTCCCGTCGCCGAGGAGGACAAGCCGACTTGCGGAGGTTTCTTGGGCGTCCCGGCCTGCACCAGAGAAGGTAAGTTTGCAAAAAGGAGGATGAACGATAGTTCTTGCCAGCCCAACCCACCCTGCCCTTCTACGAGAAGTCACAGTTGACAAAGCTGCCAGAGTTTTTGAACGTGATAAGAACCAGCCGTCCGCCAAGCTATCCCGCCTACCAGACACCCGTCTACTCGAACCTCGGCACGACTCTCGTGGGGCTCGCCGTCGAGGGGGCCACGAACAAGACGCTTGAGGAGGTGCTGCTCGGGTCCATCCTGGGCCCCGCCGGGATGGGCAACACGACGTACGGCAAGGTCCCTGAGAACCTAGAGACTCTGTTCATACCCGCCGACGACACGTACTACGAACTTCCCTTGGGTGTATTTGACCCGTGAGCATCCCTCGTCCCCTTCCGATTGAACAGCCTCTGCCGCGAAGGGAGAATGAGCTGACTTGACTACACAGGGCCGGCGGGATGTACTCCACCACGGCCGACTTGCTCCGCCTCGGCGACGCCATCCTGCAGAACAGGCTGCTGAGCCCGTCCAAGACGCGCAGGTGGCTCAAGCCGACAACGTTCACCTCGGCGCCCGGCAGCTTCGTCGGCAAGCCGTGGGAGGGCATCGCCTCGGACAACCTGACGGCGGACGGGCGGCTCGTCGAGGTCTACACCAAGGGCGGCGACATCATCAGCTACCACTCCCTCCTCGTCGTGGTGCCGGAGTACGGCATGACCATGTCGGTGCTGGTCGCGGGGCCCGAGGTCAGCGGCGGCCTGTTCTCGTACTGCATGCTCAAGGCGAACGAGCTGCTGCCGCCGCTCGTCAAGGCGCTCGACGAGGCGGCGCGGGACGACGCGCGGCGGGACATGGTCGGCACGTACGCCGACGAGGCGGCCAACTCGACGCTGACCATCGCGGCGGACGCCGGGTGGGGCCTCCGGCTGGAGGGCTGGCGCATGCGGGGGTTCGAGGTGCTCCCGAACCTGGCGCGGTACAGCTTCCTCGGCGTCAACAACACGGACTCGCCGCCGGTGCCGGAGCCGGCGGCGAGGCTGTACCCGACGGGGCTGGAGGAGGGGAACCGGACGGCGTGGAGGGCGCTGTTCGACACGTCCTCCGCCGCGAGGCGGGACGCCATGGACGACGTCATGTTCTACGCCAACGCGTCCTGCTTCTCGTGGGGTTCGATTGACCGGGCGACGTACAGCTACAAGGCGTTGGACCACTTCGAGCTCACGTACGGGGACGACGGGCGGGTCGAGAGCGTGTTGCCGAAGCCGTTCGCGCTGAGCCTGACGAGGGTCGAGGAGGAGGGGGGGGCGATGTATACTGATTCTTGATGTTTCCCTCCCCCTTAGACTTCGGTGAAGCAATATGTTGTTGAGGGAAGTTTCTGTTTTTTTATTGTATAAGCTGGAAGATCAAGTCATCAAACGCCGGTGAAAGTAATCTTGTTCCAGGTCGAGATGAACAGTTTGCCGCGCAATCGACCTGAAGAGGGGGCCCGTGGTGATACAAAGCACGCCAATGGCGACAGTCTCGCCGTTGGTGGGTTTAGGGGCGGCAAAAGTGCTCGTTCGTTTGGCTGTCCTGTAACCAGTCAGGAGGTTTGTGAGATGGGGCATATTGTGTTGGAGCGTCGTATCTTGTTATGATGTGTTGATGTGTAGAACAGATGGCAAGACAGTCGCAGAAGGAGGGTCTAGAGTACTAGGTATAGCAACCGGGAGAGTCATCTCCGAAAGCTCTGCCCTGCTTGATAGGAGGGTTAGTTGGGAGATTTCGTAGTGCCGTGCTTCTTATCCAGAAAACTTTAATGTATCAGACATGATATTTCTGCTGCCTTTTTTGGTTGATGGACTGCAAGAAGAAGCGTCGGCAACCGACGTGCACAAACTGCCAGGTTGTGCTACTCGTTGGCTGCGGTCCATCAACACGCACAGGTTAGGGTAAAGATGCCAGAGGACACACGAATCCTCACTTGCGGCATCTTGATGCCTCGCTCGTCAGCGCATTTCGTCGTCCGTTAAACGCTCGTGAAGCCCGGATGCTGAACTGCTTCGAGGGACGAGAGAGGGACGACACCAGAGCTAAATGCAAGGGGGGAGGTTCGGAGAACAAGGGTTCAACCCGCCCTCCATGACGCTCAGCTCAAAAGCTTAAAACCCTCAACCCGTCGCTGCTAGCGTCTTAGCCGCACTGCTCCCAGCCCAGTGTCACCCCCCTCCCCCCCCCCCGTGTGCTACTCACTCTCTGCCTCTCTCTCTCTATCTGTCTCTCTCCCTCTCACTTACACAGAAGGATTTTGGATTGGCGCGGCCAGATCAACCAACGACCTGCGGTGAGACGGCAATACCAAGCGAAAACAGAGAGCATCGCCACGTCTGCCCGAGGGGGTACCCTTTACCGAGCATCCCGATCATGAATCCGGCCTGTGGCGGCATCGTCCTTCTTTCGAAAATGAGTGACCGTCCCCTCCCCCCTGTAAGCCTGCTTTGTCGCTAAGGGGATCGCCCCTAGCCCCAAACTCCAGGCTTCCAGCTGGGCTCCCACGCATCCATGCTTTCTCTCTCTCTCTCCCACACACACACACACACACACACACACACACACCGCACTGCATTCCCCAGTAAACCGACCGGGGTGGGCATCGGTCAAGCCAGGACCGTGGATAGGCAGCAGAATTGCAGCGAGAGACATCGGGGCAAAGGTTGTCGTCATTCCCCTGCTTTTCCACGGTAGCGGCAACGGCGGCGGCAGCCCCCCGACAGTCCTACGGCCGGCGGACAACACACAGCCCCCCCCCCCCCCCCCCGAGTCATATGGAATCATGGAATGGAGGTGGGGGAGGCAATCTGGCTAGCGGAATCGTGGGCCCCGGTTCTCGTAGCTGAAAGTCCAGAGGTCATTCGGCAGAGCCCTTCCCCCATGTCCCTGTTCCCAGGGTGCCGGTCCCCCGGTTCTCGTGGCTGAAAGACCTGAAGGAGTCCGAACCCGACCGTTCGTTCCTCCAAAGAGGACGACTACCGTTTTGTCATTGTTGTTGTTATTATTATTATTATTTATTTATTTTGGCCTCGTCCCGGGCTAGGCTAAGAAGAGGAGAGAGGCGCGCTGCGGCTGTGAAATCGGCGGCGCGGAAACATCAAAGCTAATCTTGTTTTTCTTTCCCGTGACACTCGTGCGTCCGTCCAGCCAGCCTTTCTCTCTCTCTCTTTCTCTCTCCCTCTCTCTCTCTCTGTCTTTCTCAAAACCAAACCTTCCGCTGTCTTCATCACCATTCCTCAAGAACCCCCCTCCCCTCCCTTTGTTAGACTTCCCTTGGATTTCTGGTAGGCTACGTCATAACGAATAAGAGCAAAGCATCGGAGAGCCCTCGGGAGGAGAGAAAAGAGGCAACTGCCGACAAAAGAGCGTGGAAGTTAGACGGCGAACATGGACGCTGCCGGTCAAGGACCCCCGACCCAGCAGCAGCAGCAGCAGCATGGGTACGCGCCCTACCCGCCGCAACAGCAATATTACGCTGGGCAGCAGCAGGAGCAGCCTCAATATCAACATAATCAGCAGTATCAGCAATATCGAGATTACTACCAGCAACAGCAGCACCACCAGCCGTACCAAGCGCCGCAGCAGCCGCAGTATTACTATCCCTCCCAACAGCAGCAGCAGGAGCAGCAGCCGCAGCCGCAGCAGCAGCCGCAGCCGCAGCAGCAGCCGCAGCCGTACGTCTCTGCTTCTACCGCTGCGCCGCAAGTCCCACCACCCGTCGCCGCTCCTTCGCATCAGCAACACTTCCTCGCCGAGCTGGACGCCTCGTCGTCCACCACACCAGCCGTGAAGCCAAGGCCGACCCCGACATCGACGTCATCGCCGCCCACCACCGCCGCCGCGCAGACCCAGCATGGGACCCCTGGCACCGGTCCCATCTTTGAGATGTCCGCCGAGGCAACGGCGCCCAAGCCCGACAACGCCTCCTCCAAACCGCAGACGGTAGCCGCCGCAATATCACCGGCGCCGGCGGCAGCGAACGCGGGTCTCACAGAGCAGGCAGGCCAGCAACCGCCGCCGCCACCGCCCATCCAGGCGAACCCCTGGGGTTTCTTCCTCCCCAACGACGACGACGACGACGACGCCCCCGAGCGCCCCGCCTCCGCCTTCCCGGCCAAGGAGTCGCTCGCGGATGACCAAACCCTCGCGGTGAAGCCCCTGAGGATCGTAAAGACAGGTCCCGCCGAGGGGAATCCCGAGGGCAGACCCCAAGGCGGCGGCGCCGTCACGGGAGATGTTGCGCTGCAGCCTTGGCGGCCCGTAGCACCGGAGGCCGGCGCGGTTCCGGACGTGAGCGGTGGGTCGCGTCCGGTCGGCGGGTCCCCCGACACGCTGCAACTGGCCCCGGCGCCGTTGAACATCATGCGCCCACAGTCCCCCGCCGTCCAGCACCGCCCTCCGGGCCTGACGTCGCCCGTCTCCTCCACCTCTCCGTCGGCGCCCCAACTCCCGTACCCCGTCGACGGCGACGGCATCCCGACGCCGGACTCTCACCCCGCGCCCCAGCCCGGGACCCAGTTCACGCTCCCCATCCACCCGGCTGCCACCAGCTCCCCTCTTTATCCGGCTTCCCCTACGGCCTTGGCCCCTTCGCCACTGACACCCTCGCCTACGGGCGCGGTGGCGCCGCAGCCGCAGCATTACCAGCTTGCTCCCCAGCCGATGTACACGCAAGCATCACCCGTAAGCCCCATCATCGTCCAGGCCGGCCTGCCTCCGACTCTACCCATAGCCTCCTACTTCCCTCAGCAACCATCGTATGCCCGCCCAGAAACGAAATTGTCAGCACAGCCTTCGCCCTCGGCACACCACAGCCCGGCACCCTCAGTCTCGAGCATCGCCACCACCCAGCCAGGCCCCCAGACCGGCCAACACTCCCCAGCCCAGTCGTACACGTCGCCCCCGCCGTCCTACAATCAGGCCATGACCCAGATTCAACCGGCAACCACATCGCCGACCTCCCTGCCGCAGTTCCCCCAGCCTCCGGCGCAGCCTCTCTCCCCGAACCCAACCGGCGTCCCTCTGCCCATGAGCCCGCCCCCTTCGCAGTATCCCTACTCCCCCTCCTGCGTCGGCGCAGACAAATTCGGCTTCTACCCCCGCCAGCCACTTCCCTCCCCACAGCAGCAGCACCCCTTCAACCCGCACGCCTCGCCGCCGATCCCTCAAGCGTCCTACACCAACGGCCCGCAGTCCTACCACCCAATCGCTCCGCCCCTGCCGCCGCGGCCATCCCCGCCGACGTCGGGCCAGTACGGACAACACTCGACACCCTCGCCCTATGGGCCCCCGCCTCCGACGCGGCCAAACTACCAGGCCCCGCCGCCCAGGCCCGACTCGCGGTTCTTCAGCAGCGCCACGGCGCGGAAGCTGCTGAGCAAGACGACGGAGCTCGTCGACCAGACCATCACGCCGTACCTCCAGGACCACCGGCCCAGGCCGCCGTACAACGCGTACCAATACCAGTACCAGTACCCGAACCCGAACCAGCCGTCGTCGGTGCCGCAGGGGCAATACCACCAGCAGGGTTACGCTCCCTCTCAACGTACGTAGTCAGCCTCTGCTGGGGGGGCGGGGGGGAGCGACTCTGTCCGGGTGTTTGTTAGCTGTATGGGGACTGACACGTTCGTGTGCAGCTACGTATGCGGCCCGGCAGAACACCGACGTGTCTCGTCCGTCCTAAAGAGGGAAGCCATGAGAGACGCTTGCAAACCCCCCGAGAGAGAGAGAGAGAGAGAGAGAGAGAGAGAGAGAGATAGAGGTACTTGGCCTGGCGGCCGAGTCTTGCCAAATAGGCACCTGCGAATCCTGATACGGCGGTGACATGCTGTAACGCCAGACGCGACACAAGAGTTGAGTCGTGTTGGTTGGCGAAGCGGACGCAAAAAGGGGATTAGGGGGCCATATACAGAAGAAGGGGAACTATCCGCGGGGCACGTCCACCGACCCGGAACCCGGACAGGCTCGGCCAAACGAGTCAGGTTGGACGAGGCAAGCCGCGCGCTTATGCGGGGGAGAGTCGCCGGTGCTCAAAGAATTGTCATTCAGTCTTTGCGGGCCTGTCCTGGCACGATTGGGTCACGAGCCGACCTACGTCATCTCTTCCCTGGGCAGCTTAAGCTCCATCCAGCACGAGCACGTCGTGGCCGCTATATTGGCCACTGAGATAGCAGCCGCAGATATACACACGCAGCCTGATGCGTTTGGATATACATCACGATAATAATGTAAATGATTGACGACACACGGAGCACGATTGGATCATCTTTGTATTACTCGAATTCAAGATTTACGATATCGCCAATAGACTCGCGGTTACCGTTGTCAACGCAGTGAAACGGACAGTTTCTCCGTGGCCATGGCAACGACAACATCAGACAGAGGCCGGAAGTCAGCGGCACTGCGGGTCCCGGATGCGTGTCGAGACCATACTAGTAGAGTGGCAATGTGGCTAGTGCCGGGTCTCGGCAGACGACCTCATCGATGGCAGCCCGACGACCCTGAAGCAAATGGCCATCTACCGTGTCAGCATTGTCCAGTACGAAGAGTCCTACCCGTTTGAGTCGTAGTTATGTGAGTCGTGTGAGCCCGCGTGATACCAGCTTGCAGGAACCTGAAAATCAGGGACAGGCAGTAACCGGCACATCGTAGGACCGGAGTTCAAGGTCAAGATCCGATGTCGGGATCGATATGGAGTTTAATACACTCGGGCACCCATGCAGACCGCGCCGGGGGGCAGCTCGGACGATAGACTAGAAGATAGCCAAGGCTCCTCATCTTCTTTTCTTCCTTCGTTAGCGTCGTGAAAGTTCATCTCAAATTTCGGAGATGCGTGTGATCCTTGAAGGCGGGGGATTTGAGTCAGTGGCTTCACCATCGATGGCGCGGCAGATGAGTTTTGGTGGATGGCAAGATTTTCTTGTGGAAAGTTTTGCTCCCTACCCAGAGGCTTCCCATATATCGGGTTTTCCCCCCAAGATTGCGAGTGAGAGACCTGTTGATGAAAACACGACACACTACCCTCGGGTCTCGTGGCCCGAGGTCGTGCACCAGGACACAAATTGGCCGGAGAGCTTTGATTATGTTGAGGAGGCACAAGCGACCGGGCCAGGCCGAGCCAGGCCGGGCAAGGACCCCCGGCCGGACTCCTTCCAGCTTCATCCTACCGGCGATCCGGAGGGTGGGCGACAGCGTTCATGTCTTTGGTTCACGGCCCGAAGCATAATGTGGGATGGTCCGACGTGGTTTCAACGTCTCAATGTCCGACGCTCAACATGGGGTGAGACTCGTTTGTTGACGCTTAAAACCGCCGATCCAATCTTGGACTTCCAAAACGGCCGTTCGGGGGCCATTGCTAGTTGTAGGCTAACCACAACACGGCAGGAATGCGAATGCCAAACCTGAGAAAGTCCAATTACCCTCTTCCGTGTGCGCGCGGCAACCGCCAACATCTTGTAATCAGCTTAGCCGCCGTCGACCCCATGGTCACGTCCTCCCTGCTGCCCTCCTCGGCTAACTCGCGTATCGTCTTCGGGTAAGCCTGCTGTAGCAGGTCGAGCAATGTTAGTCATCCTGTCACGAAGTTCCATGGTATGCAGCCGGCGTGATCTGGTGACCTTAGCGTTCCAGTCGAATGCCTAGAAGCAGGTAAGATCAGGCAACGCGCCAAGCATCCCTCGGAAGCTCGTTGGAACCAAGGGGCGGGCAGGCTAGGCGATTGCAGGGTGGTGAGGTGATGGAGGGGCCCATCCGTGCCGCCCAAGGTGTGGGTGGATTGGCCGAGGCGGGAAATCCGAAGAAGATCGGCAGTGGCTAGAAGCTAATCGACCTCTGTGTTGAAAGGTGCCGTACTCCCAGAGTAAGCTTTGGATTGCTTGGCTTTTGTGAGGTGGAAGAATCGGCAATAGTCCTCCTGTATTTGGGTGAACAACCACAACCCCGCCCCCGGTGGCTGTTTCTCGAATCGTTTTCGTTCAAGAAGCGTTGGAAATGGGAATCTGGTTGACTGGCGACGAGCGCAAATCCATATCCCTTCCCCGACGCCCGACGCCGACACGGACAAAGCATGCCAGACTTGGTGTGCCATAGCTCCACATCTGTTTGCAGAGTCTGGTTGCCTTGGTGTTGCTACTGTCGGGACTCCAAGTCGGGTCTTGCATCAGTCTGGAATGGCATGCACCCTATAGGTAGTAGGAGAAACGTCGGTCATCCGGCCGGGCGCGGAATAGACTCTGGGGTAGTTAAACCTACGCACCTCCGTCGTCTCAAGTGGCTGAGAGACAAAGCGGAGGTAATGACCGTTGGCTGATGCAAGAATGAGTGACATTGATGGACCGCTGCTACAGAAACAGCGTGAGAGACGGTCGTCCTATGTTCCACTAGGTATTCGAGACGGGCGTGCAGTGACCCTCGTATCATACGAAGCCAAGGCGCATCGAAACGCGGCGGGCTTCCAGAATGTCGTGGCCGCTTTTGCCGCTTCTCGAATGTCTCCAATTTAGGACGCCAGAATGCATGTCATTAGAGTTGCCCTTCCGGCGTCAGATACAGGCTTACTAATAATCGACACTTCCACGGATGGATCTAGGGAGAGGCAGTTTTATCCCTTCTGGAGGCGGTCTGTTCCTCGCCTCGTATATGTTGATGATTTTCGTGCTTCGGGCGAGAGAATGCTAACATACCACAATTGCCGGAACCACCTCCCAGCCCCGACGTCGAAGCTCGCCCATCGCTGTCAGACGGGCGACTGACGATTACCAGATGAGGAGATGCGCTTGTCGCCTCCCAATGTGCCTAGCGAGACATCTTTGAGCTTTACTCTCAAGGACAGCCATACGGCCGGGGATGATCCTTATCGAAAGGGAATGTTTGAACAATGTGTCTCCTCTCGTATATATACGTAATGGAACAATAGCCTTTTTGTAATCAATGCAGATTCTCAAGGTGCCAGCCGAGCCGGCAGACAGGGCGTCGCGGGAGCAAGCGCTACATTCAAGAGCGGGCATGACCCAAGAGACTAGGGATCGCTGTGTAGGGGTTGCTGCCCAACCCCGAGACAGTTGGCCGAACAGGGGTAAAGGGTTCGGACGTCTGAGTCGTGAGCCTCCGTCAGGCAGTGAGCAAGAACCCGGATCTGGACCTCACGGACGCTCCTAATTCACGTTGAGGAGGCGCCGAAGCTGGGAAGTGCTGGCTAATTTGCTCGAACGACTGGGCACCGCTGTATTGAACCGACTTTTGTGCGTGCCTTGTTTGTTCTTTGATAGAAGCCGGCCGGCCTGGCGCAGTAATTGACGTGGGAGCTGTCGAATGGTTTTCGTGGCGTTTGGCCCTATCTGCTATCTGATATTACAACTCACCTTTAGACACCTGAGTAGCAACGCCTGAGATGGGTGAGATGCAATCCACGATGGGCGGTTGCATTGCAGGCCTCTCTGCCTCTTTCTTTATGCATCGCAAGGGGGGAAAGGAGGTGGAGGACACAGGGAGAACCCCCCACCCCTGTTGCCGCCCCTTGCGGGATATCCTTTACTGTTTTACGGGTTTTAAGGAGGGGGACATGAAGTGGCTTTTACAATTATTTCGGGCGCCAGCAATCAAACCCGAGAAGCCGTCGTTGCATTACAAACGCGGGCGGTACTGCCGCTGGCTTAGGGCATGCTCCGAGAAGACAAATAATGCCCGTGCCACGGCACGCAGCAGGTGCATAGCCAGCTTGGTTTCAGTTCGGACGGCAGAGCCCGTATACGACGTGTATGTGGCAGACAGGTCGATCTCGTTATGATTCTGCTCTCGGTCCTCGGATATGACGGTGGTCTGCTGACCGATAAGCTGGAGTGATTTCTTACCGCTAGGGTTGAGGACCTTGATCGAGTTGCGGGGAGAAGGGCTAAGAGCGGTGAGGCTCTCGTTGGCTGGTGATTAGCGCATGCCACCTTGGTGAGAGCTGCATCACCTGAGGGATTAGCAGGCGATGGTAATTGCGGCGATGTCGAGTGACGAGGAGCCGATCTTGGTCCTGGAATCACTTGCCGACTGCCGCTCGAAATTGGCATGACAATCGCCTTGGGCCCGTAGCCGGTAACGCTGTACGTGTGTTGCGACCAACAACATGTAGAGCATGGTGAGTCGACGAGTCAATGTAGAATTACAAGGGCGCACAATGTCTCGCCCTCGGGTTTAGAGCCACCGGTTTGGTTCTAGATGGTGAAGTTCGCGCCTTCCAAGTCTTCCAGCGGAATGGGATTATAGTCGGCTCCAGGTACATGAGGGCAACCTGACGGATGGACGAGAAACTGTGTGCTCGATGGTGCATCATGATGATGGCTGTTTGGAATAACGAGTAGCCTGCCTGGGTTGGGATCGTCTGTATGTCCATGAATGTGGTGGCCGTGGAAACGGGTGGTATCTGTGGACTCTGAGTTGAGGTGTCGTCACTCGTCAGACAAGTCGTGCTTACGCCCTTGGCGCGTACCGATGATTCCGCGCCATTGCGTGAGGTACTTATCCGAACCCATTCTGCAAATTGCAAGGTCGTCTTCCGAATGCAGCGATTCGAGGCAGGGAGGGTTCTTTGAGTATCTGGGGACCTCGTTTGGGGTCAGTGGTAGCCGGCTTTCAGGCTCTGAAGGTGGCCCCCTTTGGAGAAGCGGTGGAACGTTTTGTGGTGGAGCGTAGGACGGGGGCGGCCAAGAGCCCCTGGGGCGCCAAAAAAATGTTCCTAACCAGGGATGACCCCGTCGTTGTCCAGTGACCCGGTGGGAAGGCGTTCGTTGCATTGAATTGCGTGGCCAGTGCGGTGTTGCAATGTCGAGAAGGGGCTTGAGGCGAAAACGACCCGGTACTTGGTCATGCCACAGATCACCTTACTTGGGGCCTCGGTTGGGCAGTGATGTTGTATCGTGTGTTCCGGTTGAAGCGACGGAGCCGACGGCTCACCTACCTATGTAGGCATGTATGTATGCCTCGAATTCTTGGTGAGCTACGCCTTGCTGACGCGACGTCGTACCTGACTTGCTTTGTCACCGGTCGGGCCGGTAGGCACTCTTTTGCTGGGAGTGATATCGGGAGAGGTGAGAGGTACGGATGCGATAGACTCCGACAGGCTGACCGGATAGCTACTCCAATCGTAGTTGGGCGACTGGCTGGCTAGCCAAGGCCACAGACCGCCGTCTTGGAAGCAATCATGGATGCATATGACAAGCTAAGAGCGGCAGGCTAAAAATGGAATCACAGCTCAACCGGTCGAGAAGATGAGGTCCAGAACCCGTCAGGTTGATTAAGGCAGAAAAGGCGGGAAGCCACGACACATTCATTACACACACGCGCGCTTGCTACGTCGTGGTCGTAGTCGTGGTCGTGGGTGCCTTCCTTCGGTCTTCCTCACAGCACGCAGTCGAGGCAAGTGCACACTACCGTACATCGTACGAATTACATATCCGTGCAGTACGGTAGGTAGGTAGGTAGTAGGTACCTACGTGTAGTGGATGTACCTTGGTTGAAAAAGGTACTTGATTCATGGTCGAAGAAGAGGCGCAAGGCCAAGTACCCGTCAGCGGCTCGCTGACGAGGAAGGTACTTTGTTCCTCCCGGGCCACCAACCTATTCCAGTCGTCTCTCCAGTCCCCCCGTATCGTATCAGTGTCCATCCAGCAGCGCCTGCTTGCCTTACCTCTGCCTCCCTGCCTACCCCCCCCAGTGGTCCGCTGCCCGCTGCCCGCCCGCCAGCCAGCCAGCCCTCCCTTCTCCGTCCAGCTCTACCTTTTCGCCTCCACACTCCACTTTTGGGCTCCCATCCCATTAAGGTACCCTTTTCCCTTCTTCTTTCCCTCCTCCTTTTCGCTCTTCCCTTCTTCACCCCACGATCTCTTCTCGAGCCCTTGACTGCCAAAGGCTACTTGCCCTCTCCATCCTGTCCCGCCTCGTTGGACACGGCTTTTCGTTGGGTTTGGAGAGAATTGCACACTTTCGACAGTATCAATTACAACCATCAACTCTACGATTAATCACGCCATCTGGTTGTTTCTCTGCCATTCTTGACTTCCGAGAACCCATCCTCGCCCGGTCGGCCTCTTTCGTCACAGGTACACACCAACCAACCACCACCACTACCACGTCCACACGATTCCGGCACCCAACGCCTCATCCCATCGTTTCCGATCCTCGCCACGTACAAACACCTGACAGGTGAGTTCTCTTTTGCCGTCTGATGCATGCCATTTTCAATCATCGTTGGCCCTGTCGTCAATCCATCGACAATCATCCCCTTCTCGGAACATGGCCGCGAGGGAATCCATTCATCCTGCTCCCTCTGGCCAGCCCAGCCTTGGGCTGACTAGACCCGTGGGTTCGATGGTGGATCCCGCCCAACCTATTGCCTCGTCCAACCTTTCTCCCTTCCAAGGCCTCAACCAACTCTCTCCACTCTCCAAACTCTCCATCCCCTTCTACTCTCCAAGATTTGACCCTACTTTTTCATCACCTCAACGTCACAACCCCCAAAAGCTTTTTCTACACTTTTTGCATCCTTACTAACATCGTCACCTCTTCAGCCTGCGTCTGCTTCGCTATCTCGTCCAGTCTGTAACTTTGTCAATCGACACCTAACCCATCAAAACCATATCTGCATCCGCGAGGAGCAGTCTACAAACATCAGTCAAGATGACCACAATGGTAAGTTAAAAGGCTCGGTCAGGAGAGACGCCGGTCGACAGAGTGAACCTACAAGGCGTGGTCGATCTTCGAGCTCGACTGTGTCGAATGCGGCCCCGTTCTGCGGCTGGCCTACCAGCTCGTGCTCGTTCACTGCTGACGTCGACAACAGGATCTTCGCGTCGGTAACAAGTACCGCATCGGCCGCAAGATTGGTTCCGGCTCCTTCGGTGACATCTACCTCGGCACCAATATCATTTCCGGCGAGGAGATTGCTATCAAGCTCGAGAGCGTCAAGGCCAAGCATCCCCAGCTCGAGTATGAGGCCAGAGTTTACAAGTCACTTGCTGGCGGCGTCGGCATCCCCTTCGTTCGCTGGTTCGGCACCGAGTGCGACTACAACGCCATGGTCCTCGATCTCCTCGGCCCCAGTCTGGAGGACCTCTTCAACTTCTGCAACCGCAAGTTTTCTCTCAAGACCGTTTTGCTTCTTGCCGACCAGTTGATTTCCCGCATCGAGTACATCCACGCCAAGTCCTTCATCCATCGTGATATCAAGCCCGATAACTTCCTCATGGGCATTGGTAAGCGCGGAAACCAGGTTAACGTTATCGACTTTGGTTTGGCCAAGAAGTACCGTGACCCCAAGACACACTTCCACATTCCTTACAGAGAGAACAAGAACCTGACCGGTACCGCCCGCTACGCCTCCATCAACACCCACTTGGGTGTCGGTATGTTATTTGCGCACACCTACCCCCGTCCCCGTTTCTCATGGCCGCTGACATGCCCGCAGAGCAATCCCGTCGTGATGACATGGAGTCCCTCGGTTACGTGATGCTTTACTTCTGCCGTGGATCCCTCCCCTGGCAGGGACTGAAGGCCGCTACCAAGAAGCAGAAGTACGACCGAATCATGGAGAAGAAGATGACCACCCCGACCGAGGTCCTCTGCCGCGGCTTCCCCAACGAGTTCGCCATCTACCTCAACTACACCCGATCCCTCCGATTCGACGACAAGCCCGACTACAGCTACCTCCGCAAGATCTTCCGTGATCTCTTCGTCCGCGAGGGATTCCAGTACGACTACGTCTTCGACTGGACCGTGTACAAGTACCAGAAGAACGCTCAGGCCATCGCCCAGGCCGCGGGAGCTACTCAGGAGGAGGACGAAAAGGCGCGGGCATCTCGCACGAATGCCGCTACTGCTGGTCAGCCGACCCCTCAGTCTGGCGCTAATAAGCCTAACGCCCTTCCCAGCTCGCGCCGCAAAGTGATCGAACGAGGATCTGGTGTCGACACCCCGGATACCAACCGTGCCGTCGGTGGAAGTGACAGGATGTGAGCGTTCCCCCCACCACCCTCACCAGTCTTGTGGCATGCCGTCGACCGCTGGCTGAAGAAACGTTGCTGACAAAAGCATGCTGACCCAGTGGACGATGATCTAGTTTGCGCTCGGCTACTAAGGGCGCTGGTCCAGCATATGGTTCGAGCTCCCATCTGCCCAAGTGATCATCGACGGCAGCCACCATATGCATCTGTCCAACATCTTAGAGTATGACCAGACCGGGTTACTGGCTTCATTGCTCCGTGGCATGGCTCCCAGGCATCACGATTGGTAAAACGGGGTTCTGCTCACCAGCAGGGTCTCCTTTGATGATACGCCTCGCCACGCGAACCGGTCGCATTCTCTTTACGCATTTCTCATCTTCGTTCTTCGACATATTTGGGTTGATTTTCACGGATGGCTCGCTGTTTTCCATGACGGGACGCCTCACGCTGGAGACGCTCGGCAGACTTCGCTGTCGAGCCTCTTTGAGTTGGGTTCCATGGCAGGAAGAACTCGAACGGCACGTCCGGTGCCTCACTTTCGAGGCGCCGTCGTCGGGCCGCTCCGCGAGACATCCTCAACCCCACACCCGAACCTGAGTGCCCTGGTCTCACTACCTAGCACCTCGTCGATGCGCTGGAGTTGCGTTCCACTGACGGTCTTTCCTTGTTTTATTTCCTTACTTTTCCTACTTCTCTTTTCCTTAGGCTTACGCGTGTCACGAGTTGATATTTGTTCCGATGGCTTCGCACTTGGTCATTCACGCGTCGAGGCCCGCTTCTGGGGAGGTATTTTCGGGGAGGGGACGACCACGAGAGAAATCCTACTGCGAAGTTTCGGGAGCTGCAGATACGGTCAGGCAACATGCGACCCCTTGAAGGTCTCCAACGACAATACAGGCCCGATGCAACCGCACGTAGAGCTAATAAGGAGGAGGGTGTCATTTCATTGGTTTTTGGTCTGATTCGGTTGGTTGGGAAATTGTTACTTCGACATTTGCACTGAGGGGATCTTGGGCCTGGTGAAGCACCACCACGGCTGCGCTCCTCAGCAACTATCAGGGGCTCTTGGGAGCGGTCCAGCAATGTCTTGAGAAGTCGACGGCCTCATGTGGTTGCCTATGGCAAACACGCAAGGTCGGTGGCCCACCTTAGGACAATGGTGCTTGGACTCTCAACGCTGCGCTTCCATCATCGTCGATCGTTATTGGTCTGGCAAGCTCGCATTTGGTGGAGGCGGGGCATGGGTAGTTATGGGCATGTCGACGAGCGGTGGAACCAACAAAAACACATGGTAGCTTTCAATTTAACAGTGTCACGCGATAACCTGCTCAGTTGCATCCATGCTTGGTGACGACGTGTCTGGCGGCTGTTTCGATGGCGCATGCAGTTGCGCTTGTGCCTTCGATGGATTCTAGGCAACATTGCTTGCTACAATCAGGGCAAGTTCTCTGTTGGTAAGCTGTACACTGAAGTGGCGCAGGGGTAATAAAGCAGCCTACTTAGAATGGGATTTGAGAACAAGTTGGGCGTACGCAGTTCGGCTCGGGAAACTGGACTGGCGGTTGATGGGCAGACCGAAGCAGCAAGGTTGGTGTCAGGAGGGCTGTACGGGTCAGGTGCAGCTTTTCTGAATATGTACCAAGTCGGTGGTGATGCCAATCAGCTGACTTACCGATCCAGAAACAGGCCCCCCTCCAGCATAACCCCCTCCAACATAAGATAGATAGGTAGGTCGTCAGGCGGTGAGTATTTATCAAAGCAAGATGCCGCGTATGCTGTCACGACTATTGCCTTTCCCTACGTCTTCGAAATCATCATTGGACCCAATATTGGCATCGAAGCCAGCTGCACTGCACTGGCTGCACCAGTTTCAACTCCCTCAGCCCAGTTTTTTTGTTCGTGAGGTACATACATACGGCCCCTACAACCGTTCTTTCCTCTAGCCTTGTGACGGTTGCTCTTCATACCTTCCCTTCCTTTCCTTTCGTTTACATCGCAAGTGCCGAGTTTCATTTCCCGAAGTCCAGGATGTATCGTCTATGTGCCAGGCAACTGTCTATTAGTATTAGCGTGTGGCTGTACCGCACCTGCCTTTGCCCCGCGTATGGCCCTGCCGCATCGGGCAGTCTGGTATCAGGACACTAAACCCTCGCCCTTTATCTTTTCTCCTCTTCATTCTCTCCCAGTCTCTCTTTTCTTGATAATGATCTTGTCAGTTTCCAAATACTCTCGATTTTAGCCTGCATCATCTAACCGAATCGTGACATCATTGGTCGCAACGGAAAGGCGATACCGGTACGCTGACTAACAAAGCGGTAGCAAACGGCCAAGGATTCCTCGAATAGCCAACCGATCACCGTCATCGGCGTTTATCACCTCCGACAATTCTGATGGCGACCCTTGTTGACGCCAACTCCACCACGCCTGGCGACGAGATGGCTCCCTCGACCCTCGACCTGCTTATGCTGACGTTCAACTGCGCCAAGAACTTTATCGATGTCGGCGTATTCGCAACCCACCTCAACACCGCCTTCAGGCACAATGCCACTGCGCTGCCAGAGGTTGTCGCCTTGTGAGTGCCTCCCTCGCGTGACTCTCCTCGAGTTCTTCCGCAAGCTAACGTGTGTTGCCCAGCTCTTTGCAAGAGGTCGCTCCGTTATCATATTCCTTCATCGGCGGTTACTTTCTCAGCCCATACCTCACACGCTTTGAGGAGGCCCTGAACCTTGCTGCGACCCGATACATGAGCGAATCCACGTCGAACAACGAGCACGACCATGTCAGCGAAGATGAAACGGCTTCAGTGAGGACGACCGCTCCCGCTCCCGTGCGGCCATACACTCTGGTACGGAGTCGAAATGTCGGTATGACCGCCATTATGCTCTTTGCACGCAACCCAGAGTCCGTCCTGCGCGTGCAAGAGGCGGAGGTGGGCTTTGGTGCCGCAGAAATGGGCAACAAGGGCGCTGTGGCTCTGCGAGTCCTGTACGAAGGCACGACTACGGACGGTGGTAAAAAGGAGACGGAGCTCACTTTTGTGGCTACCCATCTGGCGGCAATGGAGTGGAATTTGCCCCGGCGAAACGCCAACTGGGCAGCCATCATGCGTGGTTTGACTTTCGAGAACCCAGAGGACATCCTACATCCCAACAAGAACAAGGCCAGTACGGCTGCACCCACGGAGGGAGAGGACCAGAGAGATGGCTCCGGAGACGAAGGAGTGCACCTGTTGCACGACGAACACCATGCCCAGACCCTAGCTCTCCAAGAGCGGCTTCAGGAGATATCCATATTCAAGCCGAGCTCGCACCTCTTTGTCGGCGGCGACCTCAACTACCGCATTTCCACGACAAGCCCGCCGCCGATGGCGACATTCCCCAGCTTGGATCCGGACAGCGAACACCACTATTCTCGTTTTTTCGTCTTGGATCAATTGACGAGAGAACGCCAGGCGGGACGGACCCTGCACGGTCTCAGCGAGGCGGAGGTCAAGTTTCCACCAACCTACAAGTACGACGTACTGCCTTCAGACAGCAATCTTGTCAAGGTTGACGGCGTGGAGGACGTGCCGTGGGCATTCGCCCCTCACCGATACCCCAGTTGGACGGACCGGATCTTATTCCTTGACATCCCCCCCTGGGCCAAGGCAAAGCCCCAGAAGATCGACGTTAAGTCATACGACGCTTTCCCCGTGGTGCGGAGCTCTGATCACCGAGCTGTGTTTCTGAGAGCGACGGTGCCCCTTTTAACAGAAGAAGAGCTGGCCCGACCATCTTCGGAGGTATCGGCGGCCAGTCCGGTGGACCCTCGCCTCGTGTTACCGGTTGCCATCGATCCCGAGGCTTGGGAGCGACGTGCGGCGGCGAGACGGAAGGAGGTGTTTGCTGGCTGGACCATGTTCCTTTGGTCTACTAAACAGGGGGCGCTGGTACTAGCCACGCTGTTGGCGGTGGGCGCAGGCGCTTGGTGGCTGAGCCAGTGAGCATGAAAGGAGGCGTCGATTCGTGGCCGAGCTCGATACCCCATCATGCATTTCGGAGGATTCACGTGTACACACAAGACGGACTGAGCGGCAAAGATGTTGCATCACAAGAATAGCATTGGCAAGAGCGGAGCATTGATTATGAGAAGAGAGCATGATTCCAAGAAACCACTATAGACTTTGTATCATGAGTCGTCTCTCCCCAGGATGCTCTAACGAGCTCTGCTGGAGACCATGGCAAAGACGAATGTTCCCGCACAGTGTATGACGAAGCCTCTGTATAAGCGGGGTAAACGCCATAAGGGCTTGATCCCCGAAGCACGACGGAGCGAGAGCATTGCGAGCTCCCTCCAAGAGGAGTGGGGAGGGAAGGAGAGAGAGAGGGAGGGATATGGTTAAGGGTCCCCAGGGCCGGGTAACCGGGATCGGTCTTTACTTCGTTATTTTTTTGTCCTTGCGATTTAACCGTGATACGCGCGATTACGGAAACCTTAACGTTCCACGGGATCAAGCGGAAGCTGTGGACAGAAGAAGAAGAAGGAAGGCAAAGTATATATAAAGAAGCAATGAGAGGGGCACCAGACATCAGACATATGGGACGAGGGGGGGTTGGTGCTGACGAGACTTTGCGTCTCGTGGTTTCTGACAACGTGCTCAATTTACCTTTGGTGTCTGAAGCAGAACGTTCTTTGCTTTCAGCATGCCCCGTGCCGAGTCGTCAAGCGTTGTTAATTCCGGTTCGGCCGAGGCGTTCCCCATCACTGACCGCCAGCTAGCGTGTGCAGCTTTGCCATATGGCGAAGTGCGGATGGACAACGTTCGGCATGGAAAAGCCGGAGGCTCACCCAGAGCGTTGCAGTCAGCTTGGGAAATTTCCGGGACGGTCTATTCGACCCGAAAAGCGACCGGAAAATGGAATGCGCATCCGAAGTCGGGCACCACCGCACCGCTAAGCCTTGCGTTCGGGACGTCAAAGAACGTTCGAAACGTCCTAGGCGCGCGATGGCTTCGTCTGGCAACCTTGCATTACTGCCTGCCCACATCACGGTCCCCGGAACTGGGCACGGGACGTGGAAACTCAACAATGAACATGCTCATCACCGCTGGGGGCTAAATTAGCCCCTAATCCAGAAGTGCCGGCTAGGGGGGGAGGGGGGGCGGGTTCGAGTCGGAAAACCTGGAAAATATCCAAGAAACAACGGTTTAGCTGGGGGCTGAAATGACATAGGCGTCAGATCCTCGCGGCTACCTGGCATGGACGCGACTCATGTCAAGACGGCAGTATTGCAGGGTCAAGTTGCACCGAGCTGGCTGGCTGGCTGGCTGCAACAAGGCAAGGTCGCTTGTAGTTAATCGCCTTGGGCGGCGCCGTTTTCGACATGGAGTAAAGCTCGTAGGGAGTTTAGGGTTCAACCATCAATGACGGGACGATATGGTATCTAAGAACATGCGGGCTGGTGAGCAGATCAACCGTACCGACTTTCTCTCTCTCTCCCCCCCCCTAGAGCGTCCAGTTGATTTGCCAATGCGCTGCGGAGGTATCAGATGCGGGAAGGAAAAAAGCATGTCTTGTCGAGGGCGCTCCGGGAAGGTAGTGTAGTACCTAGATGAGCGGGATGAGGGGTGGATATGAGGTGGGATGGATCAAGGGACGTTGCGTCATAGGCGTCGATAAGAGTCGCTTGCATGCAAGGCGTATCTGTACCTATACTCTGATCAGGCCCCTGGCCTTCCCGCGGGCATGGGCGAGATCTGGCTGAGGAAGAAGATGAAGTGAGGCGGGCGGCCCTGTGCGAAAGTAAAACTGTCTTGTATGCACGCCATGGGCGCCGAAGAATGGGCGGCGCAACAACGGTTGATTTTGCTTTATTTGAATGATCATTGTTTCTTCGAGTTCTTTCCATCGAATGTCAAACGTCCGGAAACCCTGTCAGAGCCAAACAGCATCGCCAACCTGATCCTATTTGGCTCTAGCAGCTGGGCATGCCACGAAGCGTTTCGTGAAGGTAGAGGCTAGACGACACGGGTGTCGCAGATTGGAGGCAGGACGGGGCTTCGTGGGTGCGCCATCCGATGAACGGGCGGTAAGGTAAGAAGGGCGAGTATATGAAGTGAGCGGGAGTTTAGTGCGAGAGGAAAGACGGAAGGGCCGGAGTTCATTACTCCGTAATCTACCTACGTACGAAGTTGAAAGAGGAGGGCGGGCTGTAAGTCGGGCCACAGGGGTTGGTGCAGCAACTCAACGGCACAGGCGAGATGCCCCCCTTTTTCCCTTGGTGTAGGAAGGAGACTTATTTCAAAAAGGGCAATAATGACAAAAGGGACTGGACTGGACTGGACTGGACTGGACTGGAGCTGCTGGTCGGTAGTTCTTTCGGCGCATCAGGTTGCGGAGATTTCATCGAATTTGGTAAGGATGCGGCGGCGTAGGAGGCCAAGCAGGGGGCGGCGGAGCTTGCTTGCTTCGTCTGAGACTCGTGGGCATATTGCGAGTGTGTTGGACAAAGCGAGGGAGCTGGTCGGTGCGGTTGACGAACGTTGCAGAATAGGTAAGAGCGGACGGGTCAAGGGCCAACCAAGCAGGCAAGCATACCTACCTAGGTACGCTACGCTACGTGTAGGGGGTTACTTAGTCACGCTAGCAGCTGAGGACGAGCTGAAGCGTTAGATGTGGGGATGACGGGCAGCGTCCGTGGCTGGAAGGCGAAGAAGCGAGAAGCTGAAATGAAGTGAACGTTTGGGGTTCGAATAGCATTGTGTCGCAGAGCGAGACACTTTGCCCCGGATTTCCACCGGGTGGACATGACACTATTCCGCAAGAAGGCAAGGGGACGTCGGAGTGCCCGTGGCTCTACCTAGGTACGGAGTAGGTACCGTAGGTGCACTACGAATACGGATGCCCTGGGTACGTACTTTACGGTTCACAAACTAAAGAAGGCACGTACGTACCTCGTAACTAACCACTTACCAGAGGTAGGTAGGTAGATAGATAATTGCGAGGAAGTCGCGGTTGGTTTTCTCACCAAATGGGCAAGAGAAGAGAGGGAGGCGCCTTGCAGAAGGCATGCACGAGTATGTACCTACCTATTTGATAGGTTTCTGTACAAAGCAGGAGCGATCCCGTTGTCGGCGTTGTCAGGGTGCGAATATAGCCTGCCATAACGTGGCGGCCCCATTCCGGCAGCACTTACCTGCTTGGCACTACTATCTTGGTCACGTATCCGTACTGTAACGCAACGTAAGTAAGCAGATCCCTTTCCTACACACTTACGGATACTACACTACGTACTACCTTAAGTGCACATGGGTAATAAACTAGGTAGGCACTTGTAATCTTGCTCCCGATAGCGTCAGTGCCCAGCGCCTGCGCCTGCGCCTGCGCCTGCCTCTGCCTGCCCCGGCACCCTCACCAGCATTAAGAATCTGTCTCTGCCCCTCCGTTGTCGTGCCCCCTTCCTTGTGGGCCCCATAAATGATCCTACCGTATCTAGCTGTCTCTTCTGCTGCCTTTCGTCATTGCCACGGCCCTTTCATCTGAAGCTTCCCTCTTCTGAACCCAAAAGGCCTTACCTAGAGGTGCCGGCTGCCCAAACGTCCAGATTCATTGCTCGCTTGCTTGTTTGCTTGCTTGCGACTCGGCGCGCACTCTTACAAGAACGATATTGCTTCCCCGTTGGACAGTAACAACGACGACGAAGACGACGGCGACGACGACGACAACACCAACCATACTAAACGACCCTGCGCCTGTCGCTCCCGCTCAGACGAACTCGGATTTCAAGCCGGAGGAAGAAAGAGAAAAAGAACAAGAAAAAAGAGCGGTACCTCTTCCGCCTCGGCGCTACGAACCAAACTGCCTGCTTCCCCAAACTCTCCCTTCCACTTCCCGTACCCAGGCCTAGCCACGACTCTGCACCCAGACCAAGACTCGATCCGAGCCGGCCCCTTTTCCGCGCCTGCCCAACCCCCATTGACCATCGAAAAGAGCCCGCGGGCTCTTGCGCTCATCGACGTCTTTTTGTACCTCGCCGCCTACCTTAACCCATCTCCCCTCGGGCACCCAACTATTCGGGCCGTGATGGACGGCGTGCTGCCAAGCTGAACGACGACAAGCAAGCAAACATATCCCCGAAACCGAACTGGCCCAGTCCCCTAACCCTTTATGCCGGGATTCTCAGCAATCAACAAGAAGCTACACAACATGGCGGCTACCGTTGCGCACGCGAATCACGTACCGAATCAGGTCGGACGAGGAGGTCTCTCCAAGATGATGAGTGGCGGCGGCGGTGGCGGTAATAGCAACGGCAACGGTCATGGGCAGCAACAACAGCAGCAGCTGCAGCTGCAACACACTGACGCTGGAGTTGGCCCCGTCGCAAACCGGAGATTAACGCCCCAGGACTTTCACGTCGTGCGAACACTCGGAACGGGTTTGTTTCCTCCAGTTTCTTACATCCATCTCCATGGCGACGGCCGTGTTTCTGAAGACCATTTGCTAACCACGTTCCTTACCCCACACAGGTACCTTTGCCAGAGTCTGTCTCGTAAGGCCGGCCCATGCGACCGAGGAAGAGCGAGATACCGTGTTTGCCCTCAAGATCTTGCGCAAGACAGAGGTCATCAAACTTAAACAGATCGACCACGTCCGCCACGAGCGCATGATTCTCGGCGACGTTGCTGGCCACCCCTTTATCACGAACCTCGTCTCATCCTTCGCCGACCGTGACCACCTGTACATGCTGCTCGACTACGTTCCCGGCGGCGAGCTGTTTAGCTACTTGCGCAAGTTCCGGCGGTTCGAGGAGGACACGGCGCGCTTCTACGCAGCAGAGATCGTTCTGGTGCTCGAGTACCTGCACGAACAACAGAACAGGGTCGCCTACCGCGACCTCAAGCCTGAGAACCTCCTGCTGGACGGCGAGGGCCACATCAAGCTGGTCGACTTTGGTTTCGCAAAGAGGCTGAGCAACAGCGCCGGCCAACCCATCGAGACGTACACCCTCTGCGGCACCCCCGAGTACCTCGCCCCCGAAGTGATCCATAACAAGGGCCACACGACGGCGGTGGACTGGTGGGCACTCGGCATCCTGATTTACGAGTTTCTGACGGGCTACCCGCCATTCTGGCACCAGAACCCCATTGAGATCTACAAGCAGTGAGTCCTTTCTTGCCCGAGGCCGACGCTGTGCCGTCACCTGTTTTGTGCTGCCACAGCCACTGACTGCCAGCCCAGAATCGTCGAGAAACCCGTCATGTTCCCGCACGACCCGCCAGTCTCGGCCGAAGCGCAAGACTTGATCCGATCCCTTTGCACGGTGGACAGATCCCGGCGACTCGGGAACGTCAGCGGAGGAGCCGCCAAGGTCAAAGAACATGCCTTTTTCCGGGGCGTCAACTGGGACGACATGTACAATCGGCGAGCACGAGGTCCCATCATCCCGCCGATTCGGTATCCCGGCGACGCGCAATGCTTCGACATTTACCCCGAGGACGACGGCAAGCGGGAACCATACACGGACGATATGGTCGAGAAATACGATCACTATTTCAAGGACTTTTGACCACAGTTGGCCAGACTTTTTTTTTTTTTTTTTTTTTGTATGAATCATGAGATGAGCTTTGTCTTTTCTCCTTGGGTGATGCTCATCTCGGTTTTCCATTGCATACCACTT